CCTGGAAAATTTAAGGAGTTATTATTATGTACGTTTAGATGATACAACCGGTAGGATACTTTTGCACGTTACTGTAACTCTCGAGTATTTGAATTAACCTAATTCATATAACACGTGATCAGATGCATTGTATAGTAACCTATTTATTTTATGTACATAGTTGTGCTTGCGCGTTACGTATTCTTCAATATACGCCAATGTCCTCCTACAAACGTAAATACAAGCAGCGGGGATCGAATACAAGCGACGTGAATCGGGACAACCAAGACCAAGAGAAAAGGTCACGCAGATAAAAGCTTTGGAATCAGAGATTTTGAATTGCAAACTGAAATCGACGAGAGAAGAAAGGAACGCGAACGCGTTAGCCCAATAGATGACATCATGTATCCAAGGTTTTAATGTAATTCACCGAGTTCGAGTAGTAATATTCATTATGTATTCTTAACACAACGGACCTCATTTGCTACGAATAAATGATCACGCGACCAGACTATTGGGAGGGTGGCACATCTCTGGAACTTTTAGCTTTGACGAATTTATTAGGACGTGAGACGAATCTCTGCGCGAACTTGAAACTTACGTGAATTCAAACAACCTGAGTTTTTCGCACGTCCTAATGATAAATTGTCGGTCGATCACATACTCGAGGTGCATACTGTACGACTTGCATGGTTTCTGCCCGCATTACAGGGACACAAGCAATTCACATTAAGAGTCTATTCCAAAGTATTATATATGATTTCAAAGCTTGGCGCAGAATATTTATTCCCCTTTTTTATTTCTCGGCACATAGACATTTTACACCGGATTAATTATTTGTAATACAGTAGACGCCAGATTCGTATTGTATATTGGTAAAAAGAAATATGTTGACACGTCAGTCTACTCACGAAGTTTGACGTCATAGTCTTCATATCTTTCTGGTAATTTATGCTGTGAGATTTGATAAAATAAACAAATAGATTAGATTTGTAAATCGGCTTCAAGGATAAGAGTCAACTAATGATTTCACGGTAGTAGAATTGCTATCTTCGTAAAACTTCTCTCTCCGCACAAAGGATAATTTCCTCCGATACCAACGCCTCCACTACTTCTCTTAATTTTTCGCTTCAATCCCAATCCCAATCCCCATCCCAACACACAAACATCGTAAAATTTGCTACTTACTTTGCTGTGCAGAGTTTCCTCTTTCACCAGCATTTCTACTATTCTCGTACTTTTCAATCAACTTTTCCAAAACCTCTCTTGGTTTCATAAAAGTTCTATAAACACAGAAAAAGGTAATGACAAACGGATCTTCGTGTGTTCCGTGTTCTCCGCCACAAGTCAACCTATCGATCAATTCATTGATCGCCAATCCACACTCTTGAGCATTACTATTCGAACGACGTGATTTGTCTATTGCCATTTGGAACATACAATCCCGGTTTGTCGAGCCGTCGCTTGCGATTGAAAAGGATGAATCAATCGACTGCATGTTATCTACAACCAAATAAATTAGTCAGAAGGCTAACACGGTAAAACCCGACCGCGAACAGATTTCTCATGACACTCCTTTAACATTTGACTTGACTCACTAGAAGTTCTGCGTGACTCATTCGTCAGCCATCCATATGTCGAGAATTCATTTTGATACTGCATATCACCACAAATATAAGTGGGATCTCGCGGATTTTAGGGAAGGATTCATGTTTGGGGCGTAAGGCTAGCAAGAGAATAAAGGAGGATATATTTAAAATCGACACGACGTAAACAAGAAGAGCATATAATAGTATTGTATCGTTGTATTGATACTTGTAACAACATTCAAAGACACATACCACGGCAGTATTGCACGATCAGTATCTGGTCCCTCAATCTGGACCAGAAGATAACATTCCATACCATGCTTCCGTTGCAACTACTCGAAGAACAACTTATCAATATATAGGCTCTTCAACGCACATTATGTGAGATAAAAGCAAAGCAAAAGACAAACCTCTTGGAGCGGAATTGATGGCCTGAAATCTTCTAAAACTTTATCCTTGCACCATATAACAATTACGCGCAAACGTTGCAATTCTATCTAGCGTTTGACACACGAACATCTAACACAACAAAGAGAATATTTCACCTATTAGTAAAGAGCCTCCAGACAGGTTTTAGTATCGAGAGCGTACAAACCTTTACAAGGTCTGTCCAGCAACGGTTTCAATTACATCTATAAATCTTCTTTCACATTGATTTCCAGATAAATAGAAAGCTTGTTTTACGAATCGATCTTGATTGCGCCGGACCCAGTATAATGCTTCATACAGATCGCTTTCGCATATGGCTTCCAAACGACGTTCGTCCACGACAGCGAGAGACTGGAGCCTTGATATATAAAATCATATCGAAATAACGATTAACTTCTCATCTTTCTATAATTATAATCCAAAGGTACGTCTCTCTCCCAACTCAAACTTACTCTGCATGCGGTACTCTGACACACTAACGCCCTTGTTCGGCTTGCTCTCTGTTTAGAGCGTTATTGATTTGTCGTAACTTATCATTTATTACGTTCTACAGATTTCATATTAATTAGTTACCCCAAAAACCGATATCCCTTTGCGAATCAAATATATAAAAAAAAGACATACGATTTGATTTTGAATGTCTGTGGTATTATATCCGGCGGTGGTTCAGCCATCATCAGTGCCTCAAGCTGCTTGTATTTCATGACGTAAGACAGAAATTCTCTTCTGTCGTTGTTTGCATCTATTTCCTTCTCCTTCTGCATTGCCCCGATCATTTTTCTGTATGAAACAAAATTTTTAGCTCAAGTCTGGTAATAGGAAACTATATCCAAATATTAACGCGCGTTTTCGACTGACCAGTTGTTTGATTCGTTAAATAATTGCGTCAATTTCTATTGTTTCCGGCCCAAGGCATCTTGGCTATCAGCTTCTTCTCCGATAACGATGCTAATTGATGCACATATTGTCTTGTGTTTAGTTTGTTACAGATACCATAGTGTATTGACATGTAATTTACTTACGTCGCGTCGTTGTTGCCCGAGTAGTAGGACCTTGTTCTTCTTCAATGCCATTACCGTTCAATGGTGCAACCTGCTCTTACTCGTATTGTTCGAGTTTGCTGAACGGGTCGAATTTCTGGTGTAGTAGATTGATTAGCTTCCCCGAAGCAGCACCACCTCTCTTTTCCCCCTCTACTCCTTCCCCGTCCTCCTCGGCGCTCTAAATTATTTGTGGTGAGAGCACGTTTGTGAGAATCATTGCACCAAAACCAAAAAGTGTATTGCTTCTTAACGTACCTGCTCCTCCCTGACTATTACTGTGTCTTCTTGCGACAGGAATGATAATATTGAATAAAACGAAAACATTTATATGATTAGACATCATGTGGTTTAAACGTATAAGGGTTACACAGATAATATGCAATGGATTTATGGTCACTCTATCTTGTGTAACTATACAATAACTTATTCATCGTCGATGTATTCGAGCATGTTGTCGTTCTCTCAAATAACAATGCATTTTTGAAGAGTGGAGGAAAGTGGAGAGTAACGTGGGAGAGTAATGTGGGTGAGAATCTTGGTTTCTGCTAATTTTTAGCCACGACGCGAGCTTAAATATAAATGTTGGATCCAAATTTGTGCGTGTCAGTACCCTGCCAGAAGTGAAAATTTACTAGTAAAACATATGGAATGTCTTTCTTTTCAAAAATCTCTCCTGCTCATGTGTACTATGCAAGGAAGCTAATTGATTGTGCTTTTCCAAAAAATTAACAATAAATTTTTATAAATTATTGTTATAAAGCAGTAGCAAGTTGAACTAGCTGTCTTTAAATCACGATATGAAACTCTATAATTATGACGTATACTCACACTTCGTCAAGCTACTGTTTTATAATGATAAAATATACTTTTTTTAAAAAAATATTATCCTTCGTATAGTACACATGAGTAGGAGCGATTTTTGAAAAGAAAGACATTCCATATGTTTTACTAGTAAATTTTCGTGGTGATCACTCACTTCAAAAAAAAAGCCTGGTAATTAAATCTATTTTATTCACGTACGTTAACAATAGTATGTATAGAAACATCAGATTAGTGACCCTTACGGACCCTGATATTGTTTGTTTATTTTCTATGACATGACAATGCGGACACAATGCTTGATGATAATAAAGTATCTTGTAACTTTACAAGTTTATGTGAGGAAAAAAAAATTACTTTCGAACAGTAGTATTCTCAACCGCTAACACTTTTCTACCTGAGTAGGATAAGTAAGGCTTTGATGACTTACGGTTCATAAAACCGTGTTTTTAGAGATGGAACAAACGACGGGCAGTTGGCAACAATTAAATATTCCTGGAGACTAGTGGCAAAGTTGTTATACAGTATTTTTTTTAAAGAACTTGACTTTATCAACATATAATGCAAAATAATTCACGCTACGGATGTTTCATTGTTTCTATTAGAAGTATATTTTGAAGGGATACACTACATGTAAACAACGATTAAGCTAATCCTCTCAAGTCTATTGGTTACGATCAAATAGACACAATAGCATGGTACCCCAACAATACTCGACACCATCGATAATGCCAAGCGTTACAGTATACAACATGCCTATCGTTAAAATGGTATGAATTTCTTTGTCTCCCTCACTATGCTTATCAATCTATCACATGGAACGAGGCTTAGCTAATAACACAATCAAGCGAACAGGTTTATCAATCAGTCAAATACCATAATATATATACTAATGTACTAAAGCGTAAAGTTGTTGATGCAAATATTAATATAAATGGTAAACATCATTGTAAGGGCGTACGCAATATGCTTGCATGTTATTGTAATTTAAGACTTTCTGATTAGGTATTATAGTTCATACTGGCGTGTAATATAGAATAAAACAGATATGTAAAATTTTCTTCTTCTTTGTTCTCGCGCAATAACAAACGATTGGCTCGGAACACCATTCTGAAGTCTTAAAATTGGTTCTTACGTTAGCTGATTTTATTTGATGCAAGCGCCTGTCAGCAGATCTGATGCAACGCCTCGTCAAATCTATGGCGACTTTTGAAGCCGATAACTCCGACAATCGTGCTGGATTGGTTCACTCACAAGGTATGTGACAGGTCCCTGAGCTAACCAAGTAGCATTATTTCTATTTTTTGACCTCATAATGAACAATAATCGATACATAAGAGAAAGTGTTGTAGATTATCGGAGTCCTTCATCGGAGCGCTCCTACCGAACGTTTTAGGAAATCATTCAAACTCAGGTTATTTGAATGTGCCATAGTTCTCGATCCAAGTTTATAATAATAACATTAATTATACAAAATTTATTTCATAGTTCTCGATCCAAGTTAACGTTATTACACCTAAATATGCAACTTCCTACTACAAAAACACCCATCCGTAAATTCGCAACACATTACCCACGTATACCACACACACGCTACAATAGTCAGGAAGGTGGACAAAAAAAAATGAATCAGAAAGCCTTCGTGTGTCGACACGTTGCCGGTCGTGGAGATGTACGGGTACATTATAGCCCTCGGCCTCTGGTAAGGATTTCCAGATCAAGAGTACGTCCTCGATTCCATATCGGCTCGTCTGTTGTTATAGAAGTAGAACCAGCGTTGAAAGGGATTACGATAAAGTAATCGATCTGTATCAGAAAATCGACATGGATATAGATAGAGGATGGGAGGCGAAACGACTTTTCGAAGAGCCGCGATATGGTGTAGCTGTCTGGTTATCTGGACATGTCGGGGGTGGTAGTCGATATCAAGAAGCTATTAAGCGTTTGGGAACAGGCGATCGAATTGAGAAAGTGTCTTGTCGCGGAGTTTTGTGTTGTAGTTGATTGCGTTTTGCCATTTTAAAGCTCTCTCGTTTCTTTTTGGTAAACACTGACGAGGAAAAGTGTAAATATTTTGTTCGAGCTTACGCTCGGCCTGTGTTATGACATTATAGGCGGTGATTATGAAAATGTCCTTGTAGTCTCGTGATTTTTAGAAATCAACGGCGGTTCCATGAATAAACTGTCTGGCCTTACTACAGATGTAGTCTCGTGATTTTTAGAAATCAACGGCGGTTCCATAAACAAACCGTCTGGCTTTGAGTTGTTTACTACAGATGTAGTCTCGTGATTTTCGAAATCAACGGCGGTTCCATGAACAAACTGTCTGGCCTTACTACAGATGTAGTCTCGTGATTTTTTGAAATCAACGGCGGTTCCATAAACAAACTGTCTGGCCTTGAGTTGTTTACTACAGATGTAGTCTCGTGATTTTTCGAAATCAACGGCGGTTCCATAAACAAACTGTCTGGCCTTGGGTTGTTTACTGCAGAATATTGTGGTAATGTAAGCTAATATAATTATGAAGATCAAGGAAAATGCTGTCATTCTGCTCACCATTATAATATTCGTTTATTACTTCATCAGTTCAAAAGTGCAAGCAGCAGATCAGGAACATGCGGGCCAGCATTATATTATCTTGCACTTTGTTATTATAGCAGGGGGCTGGGTGTGGTCGCAAATGCTGCAAAGGCCGCCGAACTGTATCAACGAAAGATCCCGTATCCTCGCCTCGTCGTAATGCAGCAGGCACTTTGTAATACATATGTTAGTTGAGATTATAAGTTAAATGAAAAGACATTTAATCGTTCCCAATACATACTTGGTTATTATTAGCTATAGAGTCTTTTCGAGTAGGGTAATAATGTTTATTGCAATCAATGTGTCTACCTTACCCAAAAATAGAGGTTACATAGGTCGGTGTGATTTCGAAAATTACAATAGTAATAAATAGCATCTCTATTAGCCAATAATATTTACTGCTGCAATCCTACGGGACAATTCACAACTATTCTATGATGATTCACATCCACTACTCCCCACACCCACTACTCCCACTACCACTTGCAACCTCGATTATCTGATGGGGAGAGGTAAAATTTATCGATAATAATAAAAAGATTGACATATCATAAGATTGTTAATAAAGATGTATATTTAAACACTCGTTTTTTTTCTCCACAATATCTATACCCAGATGCACATACGACAGCTTAATTACAAGTTCTTAAAACAATAGCTCTTAACAACAAAATACGACTACATAACCGCCGCGAATATCCCCCATTACACACAAACACACAAATCTACCGTTATTAACAATGTTCAGAGCCGCATTATGTCCGCTTCGTCTTTGTTTTGTTATGGACTGCACTCCAGTCAGACCAATTGAAGCACCTCCGGGTAAGAAAAAGTCGCTGTCATTTGTTGAGTTTGTTTGTAATTGAGATTGATGATTGTTGACATTGATTGTATTGTTTATCACATAGCTTGACCAAATGTTGTCATTCTTGGCTTGGATAACACCATCCGCATCACTTAATGAATGGTGGCTTGACATTGTCCTCACAAACTTGTAATGTGAGATCAGGGGATTGCAACAAGAATATATTGACTGTTTCTAAGGCTTCAATCATGGTAACTCATCTCCCTCATCATCTTTTTCTTCATCTTTCTCATCTGGACTTTTGTTACCCTTCTTGAACTGCTTGAATAATTGTCTCCTCATCCACAAGTTTTTCTATTTCACTTTCTTCATCAGGATTCAAAAAATCTTCTGTTCTCATAGTAATAGGCTTTCTGAATCTAAAACAATAGTGATAACAGATAATATAATAATAAAACATTTAACATTAAAATTGAATATAATAATAATAACAATCAAATATACTACTTTACAAAAATAAATTCGTTATAAACATAATTTACTTACTCTTGAAATAAAATGCAGCCATCAACACTCTGGCATTTGAATCCTGTTTCATCACACATTCAGGTCTACAGGACTGATAATTGCTTTGGATGAGTTTCAATTACATTGGTATCCACTTTCTCCACGTCTTTTCTAGTTTGTCGTAGAAAGGTTTTCATAATTAATAAAATATATACCTGTTTTTAAAACTTTGAAGCCATCCGGAACGAACAATTATGTCTGAGAGGAATACGGCCTTGGGACGGTGGGTGTAATGTATTGGGACGTGCCGCAATGTATCGAAGTTGAAGTGCGCACCGTACCCGTTCTCGGAGTGCAGGCTCAAGTTCGGGATATTTTACATGCGAGATTTTTTTCAGTAAATTGGGTTTTGTTGTCTCAATACTCGGATGAGCGCGTCGTTCTGGATCAACTTCACGCCAACCGGTTTTACGCGGTCTTGTTTATTACATGTGATAAATCATGTGATAGCGTATTAGTGAGGAATGCTTACTCGGTATGACTGTTAATAGGTTCGTCGGTGTGTCGGTGTGTCGATATGTCGGTACAGTATTCGGAACAGAGCTCCTTTCCATCTTTTCCGTTGAACCGTGCAAACTTTTTTGTACTACATTGTAAGTAAAGTTTTTTTCACAGACCATACATATCACATCTACTATGATGATACCAGAATAGGATATTAACATGGCTTGCTTCAATGCTTTCCTTGTTAATGACAAAATTATAGTCGATACCTTTTCCGACGCTAGTCTAAAAGTCGAATTTGTGTTAGTTATAATGCGATGATGATTTGATGATGGTCATTCGATATGCAGAGTATGCCGTGCCACCATAAAAAAAAAAAAATAAAGACAAGTCTATGCTTGTGCTCTCAAACATGCAGGTACATATGCTTGGGTCCCATAACAAGTTTTGGTACCGACAAAGAAATCGAATAACTATTTTGGATGGTCTAGATTTCTTGTTCACATGAGAGAGATATCAGATAAGCAATAAGGAACATTTTCTGAATTCATTGTGCATGACGCCAAAAGGGAAGTGATAGGAAACCATGCCAGCAGCACACCTAATTATGCGTTTGCTGAGATGGGCATATATAAATGACATGAGAAGACTCAGGCTCTGCACAAAGCAAACGTAAGACATTACGAACATTCCTTAACAAAATGGAACCTCCTCACATATACGTTCTCACTTATCAGTAATTTACAAAAAAAAAAAAAAGAAACGTCAAAACTCTGACGTTATTTCCATATCTAGAGAGCGTTAATTGCAAAAATATCTTTTCGTCCCCGACAATACCTTTTCCAACCCATCGTTTTTTCGTTCGGTATGTCCACACCGCAAGTCAAATAATGGCACTACCACTACATGTAACCACATGTAACGGCCTCCTAATTGGCCGACTTTTCACCATGTCTCTTCGACCAGTACGGCTACGGATGGCCGCAACCACATGTACAAGCCTCCTAAACGGGGCCCGGCCTTTACGCTAATACGCCTAATCAAATGTAAATGGATGGGCGTCGCCACATGTTCTTTATTTGTTTACACCTACGATGCGTCGCCACATGTACAGGCCTCCTAAACAAGCGGCTTCTTCACTGAGAGCGAGACGAAACGATATACCTTCTCGGGGAGTGGTCTTACGCTTGGCTTGTTAAAATGGATAATTAAAATAAAGAAAACAAAAAAAGATATATAAAAAAAAAAGATATGAAAAAAAAAGATATAAAAAAAAAAAAAGAAAATGTCGAAAGAAAAACAAACTAAAAGTGAGCAGCGAAGGTGTGAGAATGAAGAAGTTGAAAGATGGTTTAAAGAAAGAATAACAAACAGATAAAATAGATATTATAGTTTAGAGCGAAAGAATTGAACGCGTAATACGCAGGATAATTACGCAAACATTAGAACATTCAATCATTTTTAGAACGGGGGATGTATAGAGGGAACAATTTGTATACAAAAATAGGTTTGTCTTATATGTATTGAGTTTAGAGTCAAATAAAACTCAAATAACCAAACTAAAGCAGAGAACGAGATCGATAATTCAACTTAATTAGTTACATTCTATAGAGTTTAAACACATAGCAAGCGTAATGTATCAAAATGATTTCGAATAACAACACTATGATTTATCACTTTCGAGTTTATATCAAGCTGAATGTGCTGGTAAATTGATGGATTAACAAGTCAAAAAAAAACTTCATATATAATACATTGTATCTTTTACTTATCACCGCTGGTGGTCATAGGAAAGACTTTATTGTATGTTATGATCAAATTAGTGTAAACAATGAAGCATAATATAAGGATAATATTGATAATATACAGTGATATAGTTTGACTAGTCACGTTACGCACTGTGATACAAGTTTGCTACACACATACTTAATACTACGCCAATAATAATGATATTAAAGCATTGAGAGACAAGACATAGTAACAGTATGCATTCTATGTTAACGTTTCATAAACGGGTTTTGGATGATTTGATTTTCTCAAGGTGAGTTCTAAGCTTTGCGATCATGTCGTATGATGACATTTTATTCTACTAGAGTTTGATTTGATTGTGTATGGTGCATACCTATCGCCAAATTAAATGATAAAAAACAAACAAAAAACGAGCATATTATTATTCGGTTAAATATTTCGCATTGACAAAAGAAAAATGTTTATCCTTTATCAGTATTATAGCAATATTAACGGGTTGAAAGCAAGGTTTTTTGGTGAAGAAGTTGGGAAGTTGGATACTGCGAAATAGTTGGCGTAAAAAAACGGACGCAATGGCTGTGTCTTAAGCTAAACCTCTTTGAGTCTATGCTGCAGTCTAATGGCGAGTATCGAGTCTTTCGTATGTCATTGACCTTCGGTGTAGAAAATTAATTGTCCTGATACCTGCATGGTCTGCGCTTGTTAAGGTATGTTTATTTTGTGCATGTAAAACAATCCATGCTAAATTAGTTAGTTTGTGTTTGGGAGCCCTGAACTAGTTAGATTGGTTCATACTATTTTAAGTCTTGGTTTGCAATATTGATTTTATTGTTGGTTTTAAATGTAAGATTAATATGCATAAATTTTAACGCCAATAAGACTAAACATGTTAAGTGATCGTCAAAGTATGAATTGTGGCGTAATCATTCAGATATCATGCCAAAAACACTCATGACTTGCATGTCGGTATTAGTATCTGCTGTTTTACCGATTAGTATTTTGGGATTCCATCAGACCCTTCTATTCATGAATACTTGTTTCCAGTTCCGAGATTAGCTAATGACATCATTTGACATTTCATGTGTACCATACAATCGGAAACACTTTGTCAGCACGGCAATTGCTGCGCTTCTCTCATTTATACAATGAATAACAAAGATTCTCGAGAACAAAATGTCTAACAAAAACATGCCTTGTCAACGAGAACCGCACGCAATTAAATCATTGAATAAGTTGGAAACAAAAAATCATAGTAGACTACACGCTTTTATATTTGCCTACAAGTTGGAATATTATTCAACTATTGCACTGCGTTTTTCCTCAAAATTAGCAGATTATACTACGTAATAAGACATACTCTTTCTTTCCTGGCAGTCCGATGCCTTCTCACAAGTTTCTTGTTTCACTTTGTTAACTGCCCGAGTATATCGTTTACAGTAAGCCTTTTCTTGGCAACGATTTACCGTTCGCGTGACTTTTAAGGACGTGGAATTAGTTCAACTGCTTATACAAGCGTTACTCCAATTTTTTAATCATCTTTTTTTCTCACAGTCTAGATCGCACGGGACATGAAATTTTAAGACAATTCTTACGGTCATGACAGTTGCAGTAAAAATTTAAACGCTGCCTTCAAACACTTAAAAACGGCGGTTCAAAAACTTTTTGTAACCCTGGTGACGGTCCGAGTCGCGAGGTGGAGAAAGGCAAATGTATAGAGACAAGATTGAGTAGTTGTCGGCGGGCATACTACAAAACAATTGCGTGTTCTCAATTTCAATTTTCAAATGCACGGTTTATTGCGATTTAGTGGGTCTAATTATAATACTAATGGAAATATCAATGCAACTCCGTCGTACATTCCCTCCTTGTAAGCTGGAAAGTCGATCTAAAATACGCCGGTACCATACGCGTATTATGGCCTTGCATGTTGATTGAGAATCTTTGTTTCACAAGTGACGATCGGCAATCATTTTATTCCATAACTATTTTACTTCTATTATTATCGCTAAAAACTATAAAGATATAACACCAGAGGTCTAGTACTTTAAAACATGAGGAAGCGACAGACCCGACCATTCACCCTGAATCTGGCGATTATGGGAAGATCAGAGCTTCGACCTCTTTCATGAAGCGGCAGAGATCTACGAACAACGTGGTAAGCGGGCCCCGTCTGGTATTGCAAACTTATCGCATAGAAAGTTGGTGATTGGTATAATGTACAACATCTAATTAACCTACGAACAACCCAACCAGCAAAGGAAGTACACATGGGAATTGTTCGAGCAGCCCGCCTACTACCATGAGACTGAGGAAGTGATCATTCTGGCCGTTGAAACCGACGCGATTACGCTCGCCACGCGACAAGACACGCATTTGAGCTACATGCGATAAACATAATGTATACGCATTGACAATTTTCGGATGTTTTACTTAAAACATAGCGAGGGACAAGAAGAATGATTATGACGATTACATGACTATTGGCATTTATTATTACCAATTTTTGCTAGTCCTGTTCAGTTGCCTCATATAGTCCGCATGTCAACATTAATCTGGCGCGCGTCTGCATGAATATTGAAAAGTTGATATCATTAAGACTTTAATTGGTACTTATTAACAAGTTGATGTTAAATATCAATTGTTATTATTATTGAAGGCTCTGCATTTGCCTTTCATCTCTCAAGCATCATCACGCATGCTTCACGTGTGGATCAATGGTCTCGACATATTTCCAAATGTGAGTTTTACGGTCGTTTCTATACTTCTATTGTATGTTGCATTACTCACGTGTTTATCTATGTACAATCATCGAACGTAGACTATATCAAACAAAACGATGTGGCGTTCGCGTTATCGGAATAAGAAACACCAATACCGGAGAAAATGTACAAGAGAATGCAGTTATTGCATGCAAGAATGGTTAATGGCATTCGGCGTCCTCTGTCAAAAATTCTGATGAATAGCTTGGCGAATACTTTAAGCTTATCCAATAGATTGGGAGAAGGAGATGTGGTAAGTGAATACTAAGTTTCTCTACCAAATAAACGTATTAGGCGCGTGATTGTCTGTAAAAGTAATTCAGGTATAAGTAATTCTTCTACCATAGAGAGAGAGAGAGAGAGAGAGAGAAAATTTATACCAAAACAGTTCCTGAAGATGAATTTCTTATTTGGTTTATTAGATTTGCTGAAGGAGATTCACGAAAATGGGGCATAACTTGCGTGTGGGGTTGGAGTGGCTCGTACGCGTTCTAGTGAGTGCGACGTTGCGTTCGGTCGTTTTTTGGGGTTGCGCTCTTTTTGGTAGCGCAACTGCGATGGGCCGATGCTGTCATCGTAAAAGCGGAATTATGGAGCCCATGCCAATAAAACGGTTAAGGAATATCAAGTTCTTACTTATACCTTAATTAATACGGGGCGGGATTGCAGATACCGAACGACATTGTAAGTAGTTCCGTCTGTAATGTGATCCTGTTTTTGTATAAGTCTGTAATGTTAGCACTTTCATTTAAATTCACAAGCAGACAGTCCTTGGTAGCAGGCATTACTTAAACTGTGAATTACAGATGAGGAAATCGAAACGGAAATTGTTGTAATATTTGGAAAATGTCTGTATTAATTATGAACCTTCGTATTATTACTGACTGTCAACAATATCATCTCAGATGCTGATCGTACCTCTCCGTTTCATAACTTCTAGGACCAGAAGATTTTCTTGAATTCACGAGCGTTTAATCGGAGTCCGCCCGTCCATGTGATTTTTCCGGTAGAATTGTAAAAAACGCGAATTACACAATACGCACTATTCCGACCAGTCCAACAACATTCCGACCTTGACACATGGAATCGAAGAAGACCACAAGTGATGATGCAATGATGTCTAGAAAGTTTCATAAGAGGAAAATTGTACTGATAAAGAGGAAGGATATTTTCTTCGAACCTTTAAGCGTCATTAGAACCTGAAGAATGAAGACGGTGACGAAGGTGATGCGCTATGCATTAGGAAGGGTAGAAATGATAGTCTACGATTAGAAGGATGGATGAAAGATAGTTTTAGTATTGAATAAGATTGTTTGGGAATTCGGAAGTGCAAGAGGAACACTTGGAAAAAGGCACAGGGAAAAGGATTGTCGAATATGTGTAGCTGCTCATGTTTATTCTTAATATCTTTGATTCTGTCTAGGCTGCCCGCATTCAATAGCATGCTCAAAACTTTAATTAAGAAGAAATTCAAACAAACAGCCAGAAGATAGATGAATCATTACATGAGGCTTTGAAAAGTGCTACATGGGGTTGGCCGAGTGAAAGATTGTTGGCAAAAAGCGGGGTGTCAGGTGAAGAACTACTTAAAGAGCAACAGCACAGACATGATTTTTGATGTGCGATCTGACAATTGATAATATATCATCGATACTAGAGTGTTATACCACTTGCAGCATAGCAGCGATTTCTGTTCCGCGCAGAGAGGACCGTCAAACGACATCTTGAAATCGTCGTTCGCCCTAATCTACGAAACATTCCCGCTGGCATGATAATTAACATGTTGCAATTTTTTATAGATACTGTAAGGCGTTTGGGAAACTGCATAGATGTCCGTCTTTTGAGTTGACCTAACTATCGGCGTTCAATGAGAGATTGTTATGAACCAAACAATCTATTGTTCGATGTTTGTGGAAAGCACAATTTATATACTTGTTAACCGGCTGTACAAAGTATTCCGTGACGCTTAAAGACAGTACGCTCTTCATAATAGTTAAGATACACTGCGTCATTACCTAGTATTTTATCTCTCCATTTTTTACTCGCCAAAAATGAGATTCAATGAATATGAATCCTTTTCTCATATCCTTTTTTAAATCTTCCTCTCGCTCTTCCAATCTCCACTCTTCTTTCACATACTTCCCGTAGCGGCCAAACTATTGGCTCTACATATTTGACTAGGATCACCTCTACGATGGTGAAACTATTCTTTCTACCATTTCCTGATGCATAGCCATTTTCCCCGTATTCAAATATTCCTAGTAACGTCATACGGCAGAGCTATTCAACACATAAGATAATCTATTCTTGATCGCCTCCCTTTCTCTTCGTATAGTATGCATCGCGTTACCAGCGAGAGGTGCGGTGAAAGACTAAGGATGTAGTGCAAGTGTAGATGGTTATAGCATCAGTGGCTAAATCGTTATGCGACTAGTATTGAAGCCCATCAAGTAAAATATACAAAAAAAAACAAACAAAACTGACCGTCAGAGGTGTGAATTGTGAGGGCACGATCTTGTCCCTTGGAGAGGGCACTCCTAAATGTCGAGTTCCACCTTTCGTCAAGGTCCTTCCACGCGCGTGCTGCTCTCCGAATTATGGAACGGGTTCTGCCCGGTGCAACTTCATTATACTAGCACATTGATTAAGACTATATAAAGTGTTGAATTACGACCGATAAACACAAACGTCAGCATAACAAAATTTTTTTGCCAGAAATCGAAACGATATGCAACAGAAGGATGATTCATACTGATGATCTTCACTGTCCTCATCACTCGCTAATTCTGCCTTTTCGGGATTAACCGCGGCGGGAACAACTTCATCTAAATTACGCGCTCGAACGAATCAAGTGGCTGGGCCCAATCCCATGTAATGCTCGTGAATAGGGATAATCCAGCGGGAAGAATTTTCCTGAACCCATCGTCTTTCATTAAACTCAGACTCCCGCCATCATGACTGTATTTGAAGCAGAATATCAGGCCCAATTTATTAAAACCAAAGACATGGAAGCTAATCGTTGGGAAATTATGTTTATGTAACAGAATGTGGATATTTACCGCAAGTTCGCCAATGATGCTTCCCTCCTGAATGTGGTAAAATTAGCTTTGCAGATATAACATTCTTTACAAGTATCATAGCCATCTTATCGACTAATACTTAACAGTACCTGTGTATCACGTGATACTGTGCTACACTATCCCGATTCGACTATATGTGGCAAGGAAGACGAACAAGCATTTAGAAAATGCGGAAAGATTCAATTTATTCTTGCGAATGGGAAATCTAATATAAGACAGACAGACATTGGAGGGTGTAGGAAAGGGAATGTATAGGTTTCGTCCGATATACATGTGTAGGACATTGCAATTCTATTGTATGATGCGTTATTGGTAGAATAATTCTTAGTGCAATGCCCACAATTTATATCATAAACAGTAGAATCTTCACTCAATTTTCAATGTCTCCGATGTTCTAAATATTTTAATTATGGAATAAAGTCTTTTGATAATACAAGTTCGATCGTACACTCCCATGACAAAAGTCGCGAGACTGATTTAAAATTTGATAGTGTATAAAAAACCTTTCTTTTCAAAAATATCTCTTGTCTGCAAGCACTGCGTAAGTGACAATAATTTTTTTTTATTATATGGTTTTGAAATTACGATATAGCGAAAGCGCATTCCACTTTTCTTCTCAAGTTCGTGAACATTTGAAGGCTGAGGATTGCGTTTTCTCGGCGCCACCTCAACTGCAGCCTCACCGGTTATCAAACCTTCCCAATTTTAAATAAGAAAACATGCCCAACCATTTTTGGGGCGAATGCTTCACCGTTGATGCGATACAATTTTCCCCCCGCCCCGGTTCTCGCCATACCCGGCCCCATCCAGACTTTTGAAACTGAGAGAAAGTAAATTCATCCGACCATATGACTTTCTTCCAGTCTGCAACAGTCTAACTCCTTCTTTCCATTGCCAACTCTAGTCGAATTTTCCGATTTTTTTCTGAAATGAGGCTTTTTTAAAGAAATGCAAGAACGCAAATTTTCTTCATGAAGTGCACGGCAAACTGTTTTTAGCTTTAGAAATTGTTTTAGTAATTTCTTTCAGATTTTGTTGTCATGATTTTTTGTTCGCAGTAACAGAGATTTTCAATTTCTGTCATTGAGAATGCGCGGCCGACCTGATCGTTTTTGCGGAGATTTTTTTTTGATTCGTAAGCTGCAAAAAACCGCTGTTTGGCTGCAATTATACCACCTTTTTGAGAATCAATAAGCTCTTTGGCAAGACCCATGTATGTGTGCGCCAAGGTAATTTTTTATTAATTTATTTTGTCGTCATCACAACACGTTTATTAAATCAAAATAAAGATCCCATTTAGGCAAATTATATAATATAAAAAATTTATCGAACTAAATAAATTACAACTGTGCAATACTTTTGTCCCCCCATATCTAGGACCATAGACAAGGCAGTCTTAACTCTTCGGAAATTTCTCCAAAAAATTATTACTATGATAATAAGAATAATAAGAATTATAAATACAGATGAATATTATGACATCTCAAAAATTAAGCCTATCGCGTCATCTGATGATGGTGAACAAAAATTTTATTTTATGAAACGGTTTCAAATTTAGGTTTCAATGAAATAAATGTGTTTAGTGTTAGTAAAATAACAGTCCCAAGTTCCAGTAATTCTATTCTTTTTACCTATTGGAATAGGTGAGCCCGAACACCATGAAAAAAAAACGGGACTTGTATTCTCCATTGAAGATGAGGAGGTATGTAAAATTTTAAACGATATAAATTTTTTAAATTGTTTAGTGAATTCTGAAATAACAGTCCCAAGTTCCAGTAATTCCATTCTTTTCACCTATTGGAATAGGTGAGCCCGAACACCATGAAAAAAAAACGGGACTTGTGTTCTCTATTGAAGATGAGAACGTATGTTGATCTTGCAAACGTTCCAAAAGTTCTGGATTCGAAGTGTATTTGTGACTCTTACAATCAACAATAGATGCCGTACGGAGCATGAAACCCAAAGTCTGAAAGTTCTCGCTTGAATGATGCCTTTGTTAGAGTTTTTCTCCTCTCCGGTAACTGCAGCAGCGATATGAGCTGAAAAGACTTGAAGTAATCTTCTCTGTTTGACTATCTTCGAATAAACTCGTTTGGGTGTGTCTACCGCTCGTAAAGTAATATCTGATAGTAGATTTATTAATATGTATGCTGGGTAGGCAAAGTCGTGAAATTTTAGTTTAAGATATTAAGTTCAATGTACCATATTCTAGGCTTAATCCTTTTCGAATGCCATGATAAAGACTGCTTTTCCGTAACCCAGTACTGAGGGTGAGAGATAATAGCGAGTAACGAAATGGCCTTTTGTTATGGCAGACGACCTTTTAAATAAAGATTTACAGGACGCGTCACAAAAACAGTACGCGTTACAAATTATTTCAATACTACAATAAGGTTGGCTTTTATTGTGCGACAATATAGCATAAATAAACCGTCCTTTGCGTTACACTATCAAATCGGTTAAAACGTATAGGTCACTCGTTTATAACTGCTATGACTATTTAATGACTATTTAATTAATGTAATAAACACATTATTGATCAGCGAGCAGAATTGTTAACGTGATTTTCGTAACAGCTGCAAATACGTTATTAAACATCAACAGCTGTATAGTGGCTGACTAACGTGTTAATGTTGTACCTCAGTTCGGGACCATCTCATCTCAGTCCAGAACTGAGACAAGTCCCGAACATTAATACGATTACACCGCAGCTCCCACCATTAAATCAACTTCATTCATGTTGAATATTACTTGACGTCTGTGAGCAAAATTATTGGATTTTGGTGAATGTTCCTAGACAAAATCAAAGTGAATATAAATAAGCAGCTCAACATGAACATTACCTCTTCTGGATCTTATATCGCTCTTCCCAAACCCCAATTTTTTAACCTGCCAACCCTCCTTCATATACTTTTCAATGCTATTATTAAAATCACCTCTATTCACTCGTGTTTTCATTCAGATAGTGAAACATACCTTTCTAGCATCTCCTGATGATGCTTATGCATTATTGTCCTCTTATTCATAGACTCGGTTTTGTGTTATTCTCTCTTCCAACCCCAGTCTCTTCCTTGCAAAATTCTGTATACTCCAAATTATCCGCGTTACATTCTGTGGATTACAACTATTATAATGGCTTCCGTTCAACAGGGCTATTATGAATCACATTGAAAATACGAGGTAATGTCTATTTAAATCTCGGAGAGTATCGTAAAATGACCGCTTCTGTTCCATAACGATATTCCTATTCCAACATTCATTATCATTCTACCTGTCATGAGAAAAAAAAACACGACAATGTCGATAGTCCTATAAGCAAACCGAACACGTCCCCCAGCGGCAGCGGAAACGGAGAATCTATTCATGAAATCAAACGTTATCAATTTCTATGAGTAATCCGATCAAAGGAAGTGATCTTGCGAGTAGTATTGGTTCCATGCGTAAAATTTTTTTCTACAATTCCTTATTTCAACATTCGTATTATTCATACCTGTTATGGATAACAGCAAAACCAATTCCTTTACCCTGTTAAAACGGATAAGAAATGACTACCACCATGTTGATGAACCAATATTCCATCTTCGTGTAGGTCTCCACACATAGCGCTGACAAGGCAATTGGGAACTATACCTTGTAGAAATCGGAGAAGATAGTGGATATCGATCATTAGACAAAGATGGAAATGAAATAAAGAGTAAGAACAGTAAATCATGACACGGCAGTAACCACCAACTCTAACATCACATTCTCACCAACACAACATCCAACACTCTTCCTCCAATATGATGACGATGATCTCATCCTCCTGATCCCAAAAATGTACCCGCATCAACTCGAACGGACTGGTAGGGCTCTTCTCTGTTCCATATTTACTGTCTGCATCTCTTTCCTATCTTTGTTCTCTCATTCTCGAACACAGTCTGTACTTTCAATTCTTTTTTAACTAGCCTGTGTTTTGTCGTTTTCTTATCATCTGCTGATTATTGTTTGAATAGTGAAATTCATTGTCTTGGATTTTGGCAGAGGAGAGTAGATGGAAAAGTCTTCTCCATTCCAGTGGTCACCATACGTGTTATCGTTTGTTGGATTATAGTCCCAAAGGCTGAGGCAATAAATAGATTGACATTATAAATGTATCATTAACATGGTATCAGTTTACGGACCTATGTGCGTTAAAGCATCAATTTGTACCATTACTTCCTCTTTGGAAAACAAACTTACGTGAAATTAACAAGATTTTTCTCCATGGCGCGTCCGAAAAGAGTTGCTATGATGCGTATAATCTCCTGTTCAAATGCCCTATTGGTATCCCACATTCCCCTATGACTCTTCAACATTAATCAACTGTATTTCTCACTTGACCCGTGTAATTATTCTTGGCGCTTTGAGTAAGTAGCAGATACGACATTTTTCCTTTCCTTAGACTTTGAACATCATAGGTGATCAATCCATCGGATGCCTTATTGAAGACGGATTTTAGATCATACCAATGCGGAGCGTATATGATATTATGGGAGTTATCCGTTGAAGTCCAGACTGGAGGTGGCTAGATATGGAAACGGAAAAGAAAGGAACGAAACAATGAATACGATATAAATAATACGAATGAAATTTTGTTGGTATGAGTGAGCGAGCTATATATACGTTTCTCGTTTAACGCGACCCATCACCAGACATAATCAGTAGCAAATACACACGACCCGTTATTCTCCCTTTACATACCTCATTCGGCAGAGTTTCAACGAAAACCAAATAACTCTCTTTCACACTTTTATATATTAACAACAGCAAATAAAACTCTTTATAAAACTCTACAGGCATTCCTGTTTTTAGATCTTTTGTGAAGTGCTCTTTCTGTAAAAGGATCGGATTTTTTGTTGTTTTAGACGCCATGCTGACACCATATACACGGGCGACGGTTAACTGTGTGTTGACTGAACAAATTAATCTAGAAATTCCTGATAATCTTGATCAACTTAATCTTTTCGAAGTTGATCTGCGTGTGAGAATGTAATTGACATTTCTGCACGTGCATTGATACAATTTCTCAGTTCTCCAACGTTCATTCTTCCAAGAATATCATATTGTTCCTATATACTTACACAATCTCATAGCAATACGCCCCATCAACGTCCATTAAAGAAGCGCCACGAACTATATCGACTTTTGAAATTCCATCTTCTGCTATTTTTATAACGCGTACGAGAAAATTTGACAATAAACCTTGAAGGTGAATGCAGGTATCTTTTTGATTTCATGTAAAATCTCTCCTTCATTCCTTTATACCTATTTCCCATCGGTTCATGTTCTAAGGCTCACGTGTTCTGTGGTGAAAACCATGCGAAATTTATTATCTTTTCATGTCTGATTATTAGATTAGTCACATTTGCGATTCAATTCACATTTTCGATAACTGTTCTTCGCGTTGCCTATCACCGTGTCTTATTGTCTCAATCAAAAAGGTTCGCAGATTACAATCACGATGAACGCGATATAAGCAGCTGTGAAGTGTGGCAAAACATAGAAAGAACTGAGGATCTACTCATCCAGAAGCGGTAATGTATATGCGAATTCTTAGAAAATTGATTGTTGGGGTTTGGATAGGCTGTGACGAGGTGACAAATCACGGTTGGTGGTATTTGCTATCTTGTCTAAGATCTGTCATCCCATTACAGATATGACCTTCACTCGAAATCATTTCGCTTTGTGTTTGGATTCACGATGAACGCATGTCCATTCAATCCTGGGATTGTTACTCTGCCTGATACCATTACTGCACCATGCAATCCACTGTGATCTCGCATACTACCTCCGAATTACTTTTATACAGCCAGAACGCATATGCCGTCCAAACTGAGAATTGTCCAACAATCAAGAAACGGATGACATAAAGGCATTGTTTGAGAGAATTGTTGTGTTTGAATCATGCAAGAGCAGCAAAGCATTTGATTGCACATAGATAATATCTGCGTCAAATGAGGGTATATACACATTCAAGGAAAAGAACATTGGTTGGCGAAGGGCCTTACTAGTGGGGTTATGGAGAAAGCCAATTAAGAAATACCAAGTAGATGACGTATTGTAACATCAAACCTAGACTGGCTTAAAACCCAATTCGTGTGGTAGAACGAAATGGCTGATTGTCATGATGTACGATTGAAGTTTAACCTCTAGAATAATATTCGCATTACTATGGAAACATGTATCATTATACTAAACAGACAATTATCTTAACAAGCAAACTCGAATACACGTATATTGCATATTGTATATATGCGTTCCATTGACATATCAAAAAGAGTTGGAAGACTTGAATACATAACAATTATCCGATGGTAATGAATTATGATTCTAAATATACATAATAATAATTTTTTTTTGCTATCACAATTGAGAAAATACGCTACTCGTAAACTCTATTGCCACAAATAAATTTCTGTCATTTGAAAATAGTGAGCCACCAGAGCTTAATAAAGAACGCGAAAGCATGACTGCAGCAGCAGCAGCAGCATTTTTGTTGTTCCATTCAATTACTGCTGCTGCACATATGTATGCTTTCAAAGGTTAGTTCGACTGAAACTGAATTTCTCAGGTTCGATTTTCCAGGTCGGTACATCTTCCTTTGTATGATAACCGTATTACTCGGGTGGGTACTTCTTAATATTAAGGATTGCCGACAGCAGACGTTATTTTCTCCAATAAATTTTCGCCCTCCCGAACCGTCGTTAAGCCGAAGGAGAATAAGGTTTTAGGGGAAGTGAGGTGGCAACTATGCTTGCCAAGCGGAATCTGCCCGATGGCATTCGGGGAGAACAGCGCAAACTATAATCCAGGCGAATGTCGCCTTCCAATGGCTTTTTGGACATTTGAATAGCTTTTTTGAAGAATGTATATTAAAAGCATGTATTAAATAAACTATGCCGGCAAATTGTTTATTCCATTTGATATCTGAATAATTCTCCCGTTAAAAAAAAAAAAAAGCCAAGCCCAAGTTTTCGAGGGAGGAAGGGATAAAGGTCTAAGTAGCATTATTTGTTTACATAGAAGACTCTGTGACCGAGCGTCACGTCGCTGAAATCGATTTTAACAGGGAAAGCATTCTCTCTCCATTCGGCTATCGCTGACCACCACGCACGCCACGACCTTACGCGATAATAATAATAAACAAGTTTGTTTTGAGCAACACGAAAATTGTTAGTCACGATCTAATTGGTAGTTATTGTTGACACGTGATAACCAATTTTCGTAAGGAGTATTACAGCTTTTTAAAACGAAATCGGATTAAATAAACTGAAATTTAAAATTTTGGGGCCCTTTTTTTGGGATTGGGATAGGATAAGATTTAGAGTATATTAATATTAATCTGCCACAACAACTGTCTGTTCGACATCGCTTTCTAGTTATTATTGTAATATTAATATATGCTATTAAAAAAATTCTATACATTACTATCCGTAATTCTGTGTTCCAATCTATAACATTTAATTTTATTACTATTACCATGTGTTCTGTAAAATAATTTATTATTATTTTAATTTTCGTGTTTTGTTTTATATTCAAGTTTTCGTTGACTGCCTATTTCATTCAATACTTATACTTGTCGGCTGTTGTAATAAAATTCCTACTGATGTATATATTTTTTACATGAAAAGTAAACCCTACAATTGCCTTAAAATTTGCTTTACTTGGTTTTATTCGAGCAAGTACGAAAATACAACCTACTGACAAGTAAGCCATTGGCACCATTTTTTGCATAATAAATAAGTATAGAATAATATCAATTATATATGGGCAACTAAAATAAAATTTGTTATTTTATTTTTGGCTCAATGGGTTTATCTATTAATTTTTTGTCTACTTTCCTTAATATTAAGAAGTATTAAAGTATAGAAATCAAAACAATTTGCCAGTTTACATTAATATTAATTTGATGATCAAATTTTATACCTATCTGAACAATTTACAGTCAAAACACTTTGAACACCTACAGTGTTCAATCAAATGTTGAAATTATTTATTTCAAAGCATACCAAATAGAAAGATATTTACCTACAGAGGGATGTGGGTGAGCTTTATGCATTATTCTAACAAGTTTATGTCTGTCAGCTTCATTGATGCATGTTAAAGTTAAAAGTTTTTGTATACAAGCTTGTATTGTAAAATTCTGCTGATTATCCTAATCCAACACGTCTTGAAAAGATTGTATTTATTGCATCCATCAAAACAACTAGACGTTGCTAAAAAAATTAGGCTTGAAGTACTGCACAAGTGGAAGTGTAAATTTGTAACATAAATATATGAATAACAACCTTAGACAAAATGATCATAGATAACAATATAATAAAGACTTATTGATATTAAAAATGCATCGTTTTGTTAGAGTGGGATGACATAGACATTATAAAAAAACTGGATTTATATAAAGGCGAATATTATAATTATGATTTACTATTTGACGATTGTCAAACAGTCCAGTCTACTATTTATTCAACATAAATATAAAATGACATTATTGGCGCCAACTTTGGAACAAAGCACATGAGTAGAAGCAAGAAAAAAGTTACAGTTCAGACAAATAAGCCTTTAAGCATTTACAGGTAAAAATAAATATTTTATTTGCGTTTAGAATGCTTATCAAATTTGCAAGTTCCAAAGTGCAGTCAAGTACAAGCCATCTTTTCCTGCCACTTGTTTGCCATTTTACCATTTCTACCATTTGCGTATATCGTAAGTCATGCAATTGAGGGCCGAAAAAAGAGACTGACATTATCTGCCTTAACTCTGCCCTCTGCCTTATGCATTGCACATTGCCTCCGGATAATGAAAGAAATTTACAGCGGCAGCAGACAATTTTATTTTATTTTTTATTTATTATTTTATTTATTTTTAAAACTCAAGAAGCACTGGATGTGAAACAAGATATATGATGTTTAATGTTGACATTATATTCTTAATGAATATTATTATTATTTCTAAATTTTTTCAAATTGTATAAACAAGAAAATATATAGTAGTCTTAAAGTTTTAAATAAGTTGTCAATGTAAAAATAGAATCCAGTTACTTTGATTCTTAATATCAACGAGTTGGCTGTTTCACATTATCTACGTCCTGACAAAGTGATCATTATCTATTTATAAAATATAAAAAAATATAAAAAGTGGATTATTCCTGTATGCATCGTATCAGAGAATTACGCTATTCTTGTATTCTGCAGTCATTTACACGTCTTACACAAAAAAAACCGTTGCGTATATTCCTTTGTCAACTACGAACGAGCGTAGGATTAATTGACATGTCAACTAAGCAAATCGACTGCTAGCCCAAGAATAAATCATTCTCCATCCCACGTTGACATACGTGATAATCAACGTCGGGCGAAGAGAGGCAATACTGGTTTGTATGACGAGTGGTGAAGGTGTAAAAGCGACTGTTTATGGATATAGAATGTTGTTAAGCTGTTCTAATCAGATAACAAGTTTTTTTGACTCATCCGTCCTGCGGAGATAGGAATAATTCGCCCTACTACTATTTGTATCTCTGATAAACTGCTCATACGTTAGTTATCTTTAAATGTGCTTATAATGTTAAAGATCGATTCAATGTTCATTTTTAAAACTCTCATGGGTTGAAAGGTTTCAATTGATTATTATATGTGACACATTGATATTATGTCTTTGTATAAAGCATCTTTCGCTCTAACAATAATTGATATTTATTTGAGCCATTGGAACCATTTTCAAGAAATCAGAATATTATTTATAAGCATGTATATTAAGGTAAGCTATTCTGAACTTTGTAATAGAAAAAGGAGATTATTCCTTAATTTGAACACTACTACTACACGATAAAAAGATAAATCTAAATAGAATCGGCCAATAGCCTATTAGGAATTAGAGCACCAGCCAGCACATGTGTTTGTCGATGGGTGTGGTGGTAGGGTTCTAGGCCCTTCCTTTTCAGTTTGGTTAATCTCAAGCATGTTGTCTTCTCAGATATAGTCAAGGAGAGATGTTGCGCTTGGATGCTGTGGTATTGCAATTTGCGTTGTGGTGCCGCAATTTGCGTTGTGTTTGATGCTGCCGCAATTGCGCGCGTTTGAGCTTGTGCTGCATCTGCATATACCAAGGACTCCTCCCGGTTGGCTTTTACCATCTTCGGAGTGCGATCGGGAGGCCTGAAGAAGTCCTAGTTCGGTGGATTCAACTGCTCATTACAGTTACGATTGAGCACGTTCTACTTCCGATTAGCAGGTAAGGATTTATTATTACAGTCCACGTAAAGTGCTTTATTTGCTGATGGGCATATTCTGAGAGGTTTAATTGGTTAACATAATGTTCGTATGACTTACGTTTGCTTTGGCCTGAGTTTACATGCCATTATGTATGTCCATTCCCAACAGAGCCGTAATAGACGATTAACATACGATTCACTCATGTATAGTGTCCCAAACGATGAATTCAGACATAAACAACAGATATTGTTCCTTAGGGCGGCAACCGATTTCTCTGTTTCAACATTCAACATGTAAGTAGAGAGAATAGCAATTGATATTGTTCGTCTGACTTCCTCATCTGTACTAGACCCGTGGCTGAACAAGTTTTGGCATACACTGACGTAAATACCGAACCACACATGTTTTAGTTTCGCCAAAGATGAGAAAAAAAAAGAAATTCATGTTTTTGTAAGGTATTATGTCAATCATTTCATACGGATGCCTTATATAGGACAATCATTTCACATGACATGGATAAATACCCAAATAAATTCATTCTGACCAGTAAAGACTTGCCTCCATCCCATCAAAGAACACATACATATCCAGGGTCTTCTTCTTTAAGTTTCTTATTTTATCCTTCTTCTCCCTGGGTATGTATTTGTAGTTTGGATACTTGCGCTTATGGACTTGTCGCGCAAGTTCCGAAAGGACTTCGAAAAGCCTTTTGACGGGGTCCTCACTCCCACCCCTCCCAGGTGTCTCTTACAAACTATTGAATCACACCCGGATCATTCGAAGGAGTCTGAATCCTCATTACAAAGAGTTCACGTATAACCCACCGCCAAGCGACTAAGCTTTTGGCCTCTTTCGAATAGGCCTCTTCTTTTTTCTGGCGTTCAGATTCCGCCTGTACATTATCCACACGTGGAATCCGCTTACTTGAGCATGTTCTGCCCAGTGTGTTTGAATAGATATTGTGTGGTGAGTTTTGAGCAAAAGTGAAGACAGCGTCATAGTCAAAAGGCAGCAGTATGTATATTAATGGAACTTACCACTTTTTTGACACCGATATTCCTCGTCCTCGTCAGCATAGATGTCTGCTGAAGCTTATTGGAAAAAGCGCAATCCGCCAGTACATCCTAACTAAAGAAGCAAAAGACTTGTACATGGAAAAAGAAGTCCTGAAAACTGACAATGTAGTTTGTCCTGCACCTCAACGAAACAGAAGCGCGGAATTTTAGGACAGAATGGGTAGACTATCCGAAAGATTACGAGGAATATCGATTGAATATTACCACTAGCATTTAATATTTAATTAATAAGAGCATAGTCACTACTACCTCTGCAATTTATCACTGTGTTGAAATGCCAACGCTTATCAATATTAACGGGAATGTTCATTAAGAGAAATAGTTATTAGTGAAATATCAAGTAACAAGCCGTGGTAAAGCTCATACTTACCAAACTTTCGAGTGGATAGATGTAACTGTTTACGGCTCATTGGGCACGTGAATTGATAAAAATGTATTTCCCCATACTCACAAATGTATGTTCTCTGGAGTCATTGCCTTTTTGAATTGTTTTCTCTTAAAACTACAGAAGAATATGCTGATAAATACAAAGGATATGTACGTATGAAGAAGAAGACCCCAGGAGTGTTCGCACTAGCAGTCTTGTCCATTTCGCATAAATAATAAAGAAGGCATTTTACTTTTTTGCTAATTTGAACCTTAATAATGTAAAATCTTATAGTAAATTTATTTTGAGTTGAGACGTGTTATTGGAATTTTCCGAGTGGGATTCTTGTAATAACAAATGTTTCAAATTTGCTAGCGTTTCGACAATCTATCACAACCCTCAGTTAAGGTATTCACAATATTAGGCAAATTCATCATATATCGGACTTGTGAAATTGGGTTGCACTAAGAATTGGAAAGCGTAAAAGTCGTTTCATCAACGTCATGAAACCATGATGTCGCGCGTCGCGTTCTTTCTGCTCCGCTTATTCTCCACGTACATACAACTGAAGGACTATAAAACGTGAGCCATTAAATTAATTCTGTGTTTTATGTGGGGTATCAAAAAGGGTTAACTAGATACATTAAAAGTTTGGTTCCGGTTTTACTATAATAACAGATACAATTTTTCATCCGCGCAAAATGATGAATTACGCATCATTAGGATTTACCTCTTCTCACTACGCTTAAGGGTTAATATGAATTTGCATTCAATCAAAGGTGGTCGAAAATGTTTATCATATAATATGAGAAAAGTGTGGGGATATTGACTGAAAGGATGAAGACGATTAGATTGTGACAAGGAGTCACCCGCAGCAGTAGAGAGTTGCATGGGCATGTTCTGATACGATACATACTGACCAATTTTGTAATCGAGTACGTTTTAACAGTCTTATCTTACCAATAAGGTCATGTAAGCACACGCTTGCCAGGGTACGAACCGCTGCCCGACTGGTCTATCAAGAAATCTGATCATCTCGTCTGTCAGGAACACAACGGTATATAAATGGAATATGTATATTCAGAAACTTTACGTTCATTTTTACACGAGCCCTTTTATTCGCTGTGAAAAGGCTTTAGATAATTTCTACGATTCTACTAAGAGCAAAGAGGAACTGAAGAAGAGACTGAGAAGGATAACGAAGAAGAGAGCGAAGAGGCAGAGGGTAAGTACAAGGAATTAGATATTGTTGTGAAGTTTAACATATGCTTATTATACGTGTTTTAGTACTGCGTTATAATTCTATTAGCGAGAAGACGTCAGAAAGTGAGAATGAGGACGAGAGCGAGAGCGTGAGGAAGAGGAGGACGATGATAAAGAAGAACAAGAAATGAAGATAAAAATGACCGATGACGATGAGTCAGTAGAAGTAACACCAGCATCTTCAGAAGAGAATGATACCGACTATCAACAGACGTAGATTAATCACAAAGACGTGATGACTATAATTTAATCAACATAAGCTTGGGCTCCATGCATTTATAATATTTATTACGATGGACTTTAGTAGCCGTGTCGTCTTTAAATATTCGTCCCTTTCGAAATCATAATGCCTCCAGAAGATTTATTTCAACTTGCCAATCGGCTGTAAAGACCCGCATGGTTTGATCTATACGGAGGTGAGAATGTTCGACCAAGATTCCATCTAGCAATACGAATAAATCATCAGTGGGATTCTCGGACAAACTGCCGCAAGTAAGTTATTCCACACATAGAGTTGTCGTAACTAGGCGTACAAATAAGATGGAAGAATAACTTGGGAATGTCAATTAGCAGGCAGTGCGCTTTTTTTGGATACGACAAAATATTCACAACTACATGAGATTAGCGCGCCGAGAATGATTCAATAATGGTAAGTGCTTGATGAACAAAAAAGCTATATTTTACTTACAATACTACCATTAAGCTGCAAAATTATTTAAAACTGATAGACGTATTCGACAGCACTGTATATATAAGTGGAGATACTTTACTCGATCGTCGATCACGCGGAATGCAATGAACGATGTCCTTTGTAATCGAGAAGATTCAAATGCAAGGCGATAAGAGAATTAAAGGCGTGTGTAAGATCATGTAAAACGAACATATGTGTTTTAATCAGGAAAGACGATAGCAAACTTTCACTTAGATAGGTTTTTACTAATTCATTTCTGTTTAATGTAGAAAAAATGATCTATTGCTGCCTTATACTTACATAATATTCGCAATAAGGACATTGAATATCGCATGTATGACTTGTGTTACATTCGGTGTATTTAAATTTGCCTGCATTACCAAACTTTGTATAAAGGAAATGACTAGCACCAAGTTCTTTCTATGGGCACAATTTGGGTTTACTACTGCATGATCTGACAAGTCCGAGAAGAATGATGGAATCGAAAAGAAGGATTTAGCCTGAATTTAATTGGAACGAGACAATAATTGTGGAATTCGGAACTAGGTGTGTAAATTAACAGCTAAGATAAAGAAACTTCACTATAAAAGAGTCAATACTAGACTAACTCAAATGATAGGACTATGATTTGGTTCTATAACATGTAGAAGCTGCCGAAACAATTAAGAGACCCACATACAATCCGAACTATGATAAGACGCGGTTGCCTGTTTATGGAAGACAATTAATTGTCCTCTGGCCGCCACAAACCTATCAAGGAGCCAACCTTCCAATTTCCGGTATATAATATAATCAACAATGCTTGTGCAGAGATTAGACACGACACGGAGATCTTTACTGACGATGTATATTATTGGATGGTATCTTATCTTATTAATATTATCTTATAGGATGAGCTTACACGAGACTTTGGAGGAGCCATTGATCAAATAATAACAATTGAAATCGCGGCATCTGAGTAAGTATTGCTGTTCGTATGCCCCCCATTTCTGACCACGTTCTCACACTCTGGTTCCACTTCTATAACATCGCGCTGTCTATAGCGTACTCTTGATCAGCCGCTTTCTGCCCCTGCCCATGTCTAAGCAATGATAATGTTGTCTATATTTGGTCACGTGAAATTTTTACTTTATTTGCTATGGAACTAGAGTTAATGAGTATGAGCTTTACTACTTATCTGCTTTTTGTGACCTCTACTAACAAATATCACCAGATACTGACTATCTCTCTTTTCGTAACATTTAGAAACCAGGGGAGCTTACGAATGGTCCATCTAAACACTCGCAGCTGCCACATACAACGACTTAGCTGCATACGACTCAGTTGCTGAATACGACTCAGCTGCCGAATGCAACAACAATACTATCGCTGTCACGCTACAAGACAAAGCGAAGTTTGTTCCGCCATCAGATTTATCATCCGTACTCAGAATACTATCTCGTGATGACACGGAATAGGTTGCTGCTGCCACCAATTATTACCCCACAGCGGCCACGTCGCCAGAAACGCTGCTGTTATTACTATATCTTGTTCAGCCGGAACAACTTACGACCCTGTCCAGCATCCGCATATCCTATCGATGAATGCAAACATAATCTTCTTTTGATGATCTGGTTCCCGCTATGAACTGGATTGTTCGTGAGTCAATCCTAGCCAGCGATACGCCTACATTGAAACTCCTTCCATCGGTACATTTGCAAACGAACTGTCTTTTGTTCGAGTTGCAATTTTATCAATTGGAGCAGTTATTGATGTTAAAGAATCGCAATGTCTAATGGCCTACCAATGAGATCGAAATCATTAATTTACTACGGCGGATATTTGTTATGATCAGCTCACTATTGATATTTACGACAATAACGGGATTTACATTCAAAAAAGCTTTGACACATACTCCCGATGGAGTATGGACTTTTCCAAATAATTCTGTATGGAAAGCTAATGAGGTGTTTAATAGAACGTGGAGTCTAATTTCGACCGAATACCCAAATTTATACCCAACGAGTAAGTAATAATAGATTGGACAATTTATTTGTAGTGTCAATTATTGACTAGTATAATCTATTTCTAGATAAGGTTGGAAGGCCTTTCAAGCTACTGACGACAGTGAATTCTCAGAGAAGGAAGAAAATCTGGACCACTGTATTAATCCAAGTGTTTTGGATAGCACATAAATGGAAGTCTATTACATCTTTGTTGATAGTAATTTTTGTGCAGATTAAACAATTCGATGAAGCGCTTATTGGATCAAGAAATATCTATGGTATTGCTCACAAGTTAGTCGGTGACTAGTGACGGAGGCGACAAAATGATTATCGTTTTTGTAGGAGGCTCGAGGATGTTTAGGCTGGTGAGTTACAAGATATCAATTTCAAATGACGGATAAATGCTATAATTGCTTATTATATACAGTATATGTTTATTAGACACTGCAAACCGATTTTTACGTTTGACCTAATGGAACGTCTTATCATGAAGATTTTCCTTCAGAGTTTGGGATTCTATGGAAATAATTTAATTTCAGTGAACCTAGTCGCCTTCCAAGCAACAATACGATTTATCATTGGAAAAGTAAACAGCTCATATTTCGGGTTGAGATGAATCTACAAAAGCCGCTAGTCTGAGAAGTGTATCCAAAGTCATGGTGATCTAAAAACACTAAACAACACAAATGTATCGCTGGTGTTCAATATTGCAGTGATACCTCTATGTCAGTGACGCGTGCTCACGTTGGATGATACTGTAAATATCCCCTTTATTGTTGCGGATCTAATTACTGACTCTTGCTTGTGGGAAACCCGTGCGTATAAGGAAATCGAAATGGAAGACACCATTCTGATATTTGTATAAGTGTCTATTACTATATTTGGTAAGTAGAAATTTGAACGTTTACTACTTGTTAATAATTTGTTGGTGACATTCATAAACAAACGCCTTTCAGACGTTAACCATGCCTCTCTGGTTACAATATCTAGTAACTAGCGGATTTGCTTTGATCAATTAGCGTTTAATCGAGCATCTGGGGCATTCACTATATAACAAAGCGACATGAAGCCCGATAGTAAGTATGGCTGAGTCAGTCACAAATCGAAGTATGGTCAGAAAGCGTGCTTCCGTGTTTAATTAGATGTTGCATGGATGGTATGGAGGGAAGAGGGAGAGCTAGAAAGGATATACAGATAAAGAGGAAGGTTGTTGAAAAGAGTACAATACACGGGAGAATCGCTTTAAAAGCATACATCTCGGTGTTCATAGGAAATGAAATGTAGTGAGCAATGACATGTCTGTATGAAAACATTTTGAAAACAAACTGTCAATGATCTAATCAATGTCTAGCAAATAAAGCCTTACGCTTAATTCACAATACATTGCTGATTAGCGAGCAGAATCGTCTTCTGTCGATAAACGTCTTGCCACTCGTCTTTAAGCTACCGAAGCTTCTCTCATTTAATACTGTAATCATTTTTCATATAGCAGTATAGCACCGAGTTATCGAATTCTTCACTCGCCTTTTCATTCTAATCGTGGAACTATCCTTTTACATTGCCTACTTTATCTTCACCTCATCGTCTTCCAACATCTTGCTCATTGCAAGTTCTCATCCTTTTCATTTGATACATAGCCGTTCTTCCTAACTTGCACTATAAAATTGTATATATTCGAGGAACTTTTGATCCATCTTATGTCGCTCCTAACTTAGGGTTAAACCCTAGAAATAAAAAACCCACCCTCGAGGGATTTTTGAGAGTTTTGTTATTGCTAGTCGGGTTAGGAATAGTTATCCTTTGCATCTCATCCTGATTTTCCAATCTACATCTAGTCCACCACCAGCCTACAAGGTCTCGTCTCGATATAGTCAACTATATCTCCCGCATTATTGCCGGCGAAAATGTTTCTGAGTGCTCTTGTTTTTCATCCTGTTTTCTTAACCGTCCTTCTACGCTTCCTACTACACATCGCATCAACACCGCCGCCACCACCTTCTTCTTCTTTAACTTATTCACCAGCAGAGCCATCAAAGTCTATATATTAGTCCAACTTTCCTTCCACTCCTTTACTAGAATTTGCTCTGTCTCTTCCAGCCCATCCTCTTATCAAGGTCTTTGATTGATACATGGCCATTATTCCCACACGTGGTGAACTATCACACTAACCAAGCTAGTGCAAATTGATATGTCTTCACTCGCCTTTAATTCTAATTGTGAAAATATCCTTTTGCGTTACCTAATGCATAGTGCATTATTTTCACCTACACTATCTTCATCGTCTTCCCACTTCTATGTATTTGATGATTCTGGAACATCTCGCTCATTCCAAATCCTCCTCATAATATCATACAAAGTTCTCATCTCAATATAATAACTATAATACTTACACGTAAATAAGCATCGCCTGGTTGACAAGAAGCACGCAGAATATAGGTAAGCATTTCTCGTCACGCGGAGATCGTCATGGTCGGGAATGGCACGCATTGTAGCTATCGCGTTTTTACAATTCTACGCGGAAAATTCACGTAGACGGCCTGGACTCCGATTAAACGCTCGTGAATCTAAGAAAATTTTCTGGTCCAAGAAGTTATGAGACGGAGAGGTACGATCAGCGTCTGAGATGATATGTCAAACAATGAGTAATAATACGAAAGTTCCAAATATTACAATAACTTCCGTTTCGATTTCCCTATCCGTAGTTAAGTAAGGACTGTCTTAAATGGAAACGCTAACATTCCTATTACAGACTTATCTTACACATAACAGACGGGATTACTTACCACGTCATTCTGTATCTGCAATCTCGCCATTTTATCGGCCTGGGCTTCATAATTCCGCTTTTACGATGGCAGCATCGCAGCTGTGCATCCAAATAGGAACATCCAGAGTTCCTGTTCAATTTATTCGAGTCCATTAATATTCCTCGCACTTGGCTTTCTTGCATACACTTTGGCCCACTCAGTTAACTAGCACACAACCATTCTCCCGTGAAGAATGCCCCCTTGTCGATCGGTTATTAACGCGCTGATAACCAATAGTAAATAGGAATCTCGATATGAATTCAATGAACGTTGTAACATGTGACCGAAAATACTAAGACTCGTCGCGTCATAAGTCCCGTCCAACGTAGAAATAATACTTTTATGTTGTACACACTTTTTCAATGAAGTCAGTGAGAAATCTAATTGTAAAGCTTTTGCCAAAGCTGTGTCTATAACTTGAGACTCAAAGAAGTAAAAAAAAAAAAAACAAAAACGAATTCTAAAACTGTGACGATTTAGCAAAATTATTTAATGCTATCGAGCCGGTACACTGGCCTTGAGATTTAGCTTTTCAAACGAGGCCTTTGACTACCTCTACTAGTACTAAACCTTACGACAGTTGAAAGCTTATAGGACGGGGAAGTTTTCTACACGTTTAAATAATAATCCTAATGTCAAGTTCCTGCGAAATTGATGGTAAGCTCAAATCCGTGTACCGTCGATACGGGAAAGCGCTTTACATTTTTACCGACGATAGAGATAAAGTCACCAGGAATGAACACAAATAAGTTATATTTGAATACTGATTTTATTAGAATATAAAGAACTATTCTAATTACAAGGAATATTATAAGAACAATTATCGAAATAAGAATGATCGTGCTAAAGATGATATTCGCTAAGGGAAATTATGTATCTATCTATCGTTTCACTAAACTAACAACATATTTTTATCTGTCTATTTAAAAGTGCAGTGCTAACAATTCCGTCCCGTTGCGTTCGAATCTGTGCCGCAGCCGGAGATGTTGTACCGCTGTCATCTTTACCGATAATGCGTAATCGTACTCTTCAAGACATAGAAGTATGCTTCCTCTGATCAATTAATGGGCTATGGTATTAGCCCCAAGGTAAATGTTGATACCCTTTATTCTTAGTGCAATTATATCGTCTGGCACGATGTCTAATATGCTTTTAAGGTCATTCAAAGCACTATAATATTGTTCAATATGGCAAAATAGAGCTGATCTAACTCTTAATGCCATGACATCGTTTGTTCAATATTAATGATACATCGAGGTCGTTTAATGCATCATCATACCATTAGAATACTACTCCTCTGGCTCTTCGTGCGCTTGCATCACTAGAGTTGATGTCTAATGATGCATTGAGATCGTTTAGGGCATTGTCGTATTGTTTAAGTTCGAGGTGAGTTACTCTTCAGTGCAATTGCTTCATTGGGCTTGATGCGTAATGCTCTATTAAGATCATTTACCGCGCTATCACACAGTTTAAGAGAGAAAAAGATTGTCTCTCTTATTATAAGAGCAGTTTCACTCTCAGAAAGAATGGCCAATGACTCATTCAAACAGTTTAATGCTTTGTGGTACTGTTTGAACTTGCAATAAACCCCCCCCCCTTACATCAGCCTTTCCCATCGTAGATAGGAAAAGTGTCTACTCGTTCATGTGAAGGTGTAGCCAAAGCCTTTACGTAAAAACCGTCCGAGGGCATCGGTCGGATCGGCTAGCATTTCTGATTTTTGTGCGGCAGACATTGGTGGTGGAAAGTTGAAATGACGCGTCAATCATTTGAGGAGGTCGAGCGTCTGGGATTTTGGCTTGTGCAGCGGGAATATTGGCGTGAGGCGTTTTTAGTTTGTGCAGGACTTTGGGTTTGTGCGGGCGGAGACTTTGGGTTTGTACGGGTGGAAATTTTGGGTTGTGCGGGCGGAGACTTTGGGATGTGTGGGCGGAGACTTTGGGATGCGCGAGCGGAGACTTTGGGATGTGTGGGCGGAGACTTTGGGATGTGTGGGCGGAGACTTTGGGATGTGTGGGCGGAGACTTTGGGTTGTGCGGGAATTTTGGCGGCGTGAACGGAGTTTTTGACTTGTGCGGGGACTTTGGTTTGGGATTTTGGCTTGCAATATAGCGGACTTTTATATAACAGATCGGGGACTAATTCTCCGAACACATTAATAGCTATAAACGTTTCGTGTAACCCTTATAGTATAGCGGAGTCCGGTTTTCATATGATGTGCTTATAGAGGGGGTGACTATAAAGAGGGTTGACTGTACTAACTTTACGTCGACCAAATTATAGCCCTATCAGTTTAAAAATAAACGAAAAAGATGCTTCTCAGGAAAGTGATATAAGTAAAGGCTTTAACAAAGACCACTGTGTAGTGTGGGACAAACAAAGCTGTAACACTCAATGGTGCATATTTTAAACAAACGATTAGACGGAGCGATTTACAAAACATCTCCGGCCTGTGACACATCTGAACGAATATTTGGTGCACAAACGCTGTCATGTCCAAATCGGTCGTATGGATTGGTAACTCAGTCTCAGCCACCAAAATAAACCCGGTACGCAGTCAAGCGACACTTTGATTACGCAGATAAAAATAATTGAACAAAAAAAATCAATGTTTAACAAATTGATCAGTTAACAACTCAAACCTAAATAATCAATTAACTTTCAGTTTAGTGAAACAGTAGATGATATATAGTCAGTCGTGATAATATTTCTGCATTTAGAATTGTAGAAGTATCAAACAAAATTCTGTTGGTTCTTTTGCAGCCGGTTCACAATGATACCGCTTATAGTCGTAAAAGCAAGCTGTTGTCCCACGCACCATTGTATCGTCATAAATATTTACGATAAATTTCTTTAATTGCAGGCTGTTGATTGATCGATCCATGTGATTAGAATATTTCTCATCTGTATACGAGTTCGGCCAGCCATTCCTGATACAAAGCACAAATAAAAGCAGATTTTGCAGCAACGATATACAAAATGTCTCACTGTGTATTGCATTGTTATATTTCACTAGAAAAAGTGTTAGTATACTATATTTGCAAGTATTATGCAAATACCTAGAATGGAATTATCCTCATCACAGGTACTGTGTAGTGTCACAATCTGTACTATATTATTCGAACGATAAATTTCACTATATATGCTTAAAGAGTTTAACGCTATTTATAATATTGGAAGACATGCCCCACGCTGAGTGCTATGGTAGAGGATATAATACCACAAGGTAATGGTTTCTTTGAATAAACATAATAAGAAGCGCAGTGTGACTGGTGGTACTTACGTCAGGTTTGTGGCGACAGAAATTGTTGATGGTAATCGTCTCAGAAACTACAAAAATCACGTCGCATCACGATTGGTACAATGGCTATTACAGCATATCAGCCAGCGAAGCAGTTATGAGCTAGAGAACAAAAATTTGTACTTATAATGCTAACATTGATATGTCTACTGAGAATCGCCATTGTACTAATGGATATTGGGTGTTTGTGTTCAACTTACAGTATATATTATAGGGACGCACTGTTACCGTTGTTATTGCCGATTCTTAACACTAATTTGTATTATAGTTTAACGCAATCTACGAGCATGACTTTATTTATTTATACCTTAGCAACATGAGTATAAAAAGATACGCCTCATTGACACGGTTGTGAGTAAGAAAGACCACAAGACTATCCCCGATCCATTTTGGACGCAAACACTTAGGCGACCGAAGATAACACACGAATAAATGCACGTATCTCATTTTCATTCATTAGTATTATAAATTTATATTTTTATTATTTGTTTGTTTACATTTTCTATTTTTTTTTTAAACATTTTTATTTATGATTATATCTTAAGAGTTAAGTTAAATAGTTATAAATACAAATATTTTGAAAGACAACAGACGTTTACGATTTCCTCCAGATTTAACTTAGAGAGCGTTTCAATGCCTTAATTGATTTCGAAGGCATCATCCAAATTGTGCACCAGGAAAGGAGGAACTCTGCTTGTACAGCAGCCGACATCCATGGATGTCATCAGACAGGCTCACATAAGCCTAGCCTCCGCGTGCTGGACGTTTTTTTCTTGGCCGCCATGGCACAGACAAAGTTACAAACTGTCAAGTGCCTCGAATTGATATGCAGGCGGCTCTTCCTGCCACGATTTACTTGTGGAAAGGTCGGTATCTCGTCGGTGAAAGGCGTGGGCCTTGAATGAGCGACACGGTTCGGCATGAATTCTTTGTATATGTGCAAAAAGAATTGTGGGAGGTTTTCGTTTTTTGTTCGGTTTGCTTTGGTTGTCTTGTATTGTATTGTCTTGTTTTGAGTACGAGTTAGCGTGTTGAAGAATTACCATTGAACCGTGCTTATTTATACGCAAAGCCACCCATTAATAATTATAAGATCGGGGCTTGCATAAATCTCGACCAACACTGTTGACACATGCGCATCTATTTTGATAACAATCAAACAAAGTTTATCACGTTGTACGCAATTGTATGAAACAATTATGCAAAACAGATTAAACATATGACAAAGACCAAATTAGTTATTTTATATGAGTTAAATTTAATTGCTATTGCCTTTATTATCTCACGTAAGTTAAGTTTATTAATAATTTAAAATTATTCTTAGAAAACTTTTTTCTAAACTAGTAGGCAAAGTAAATACATAAATATTTTAATCGGTAGGAAATAAAATTTTTTAAAAAAATGATAACATCAAGATTGAAACTAAGATTAGTTCCATTTTGATTAGATAAAAATAACACAAGTACGTACAGTTGTTCCAGCCAATCCCGAAGTATTAAAGTTGGTGACGTTCCGCAAGAAGCAAGGGTATCCGACATTTTTGCCCCCATTTTGATAAATATGAATTGCGAATTGGCAATCAACAGAATCAACAGTAATCCAGACAGTTGTTGAATAACGCCAACATCATATCGTGCAAAGTGTGATAAACAAAACGGCGAGCCTTGATACAAACAAAGTATGAAAAGTGAGAAACTGGATTTGCCAATTAGATTCCAGGTTCGCCCAACATGCACTATCCTTTGTCATTAAAAGAATACGCTAATTGTTACATCCATCCCGATTATTGTTCTTATTATTATTATTATTATTACTCATAACAAACAAATTACATTGTCATATTCCAAGGTAATTATTAAAATTTCTGTACCCACAGATCTTTCTGAAAAGTAGACATGCACACTTTCTGATGCTGTATCCTCGGGTGATCTATCCATTCTGAGGTACATCGTATAAATGGCAAAATAGTTGTGCTAATCTTATCAAGGTACAGTACATGGAACATAGAAGATTGTTTTCTGGGATGAGGGAGGTGATTTGTGTGTTTCAATAAGTACAACTTTATTGGTGATTTGTGTGTTTCATATGCAAACATACAATTGTTATCCAATATTTGTACTACTGCCAATTGTTAAATTTAAAGTTGGTGTTAGTGCGATAAACTGTCCAATTACTTGTAGATTGCACGCCGCCATAGAAGACTGTTCTAGAATAGAGTTCTTTGTCACTCGTTAAGAAATAAACTGTTTGGTTGACACACTAATGCTCGATACATCAATCAATCTCCCATATTCCATGTTCTGTACCTTGATGAGATTTCATGTGAGAAAGTGTGTATGCCCACGGATCTGTAGGAATAGAAGTTTTAATTACCTTGGAATATGATAATGTTATTTGTTTGTTATGTGTCACCTTTGTGAATCCAGTTCTCACTTTTCTATGCTCATACTTTCACTTTTTGTTTATTATATCGTTCCACATGCATAAAGCATATTGCTTAAATTTGCAAAACTCTTTCGAGAATTTGCCAATTAAAAATTATTTTCAACAAGAACTAAATAATTGCTATTACCATTGGCAGAAAAAACCCCCTCAGTATGGAACATCAACTTTAATACTTCGGGATTGGCTTCCGTCTTCCCTTTCTTATTCGCATGGCTGACACTACTCTTTTATTGGTTCATTGTCTTCCCTTATTGTTTCTCGCTATCGTATGTTGTAACTATTGGGTACACAAAACATAGTATAAACAATTAGAGATGATAAAGGCAAATAGCAATTAAATTTAACTCGTATAAAATAGCCAATTTGCATAATTGTTTCATATAATTGTGTACAACGTGATAATAATAATAATAATAATAATAATAATAATAATAATAATTTGTTTTAATTGATATCAAAAACAGATGCACGTGGAGCTTGTTTGTCAACAGTGCAGTGTTGGTTGAGAAATTATGCTAAAGGAAATAAGCACGGTTCTGTCGTAATCCTTCAATACGCTAACACGTCCTCAAAGACAAGACAAAAACAAACCGAAAACCTCTCATAATTCTTTTGTGCCTGAATTTACTTTCACACAAACCATACGAAGCGCATTACGCGAATTCATGTCAAACCGTATTGCTTATTTAAGGCCTACGCCTTTCACCAACAAGATACTGACACAAGAAATCGTGGCATTCGAGACACTTGACAATTTGTAATTATGTCTGTGCCATGACCAGTAAAGTAAAAAACGCCCAGCGTACGGAGAATAGGTTCATGTGAACCTGTCTGATGACATCCACGGATGTCGGCTGCCGAAGAAGCAAAGTTGTGCATTGTTGGGATGAAATCTACGAAATCAGTTAAGGCATTAAAAATTAAAACCGCTCTCATTGAATACTCTATACAATATTTGTATTCGTAATTGTTTAAAGTAAAATGGAGCTAGAATTTTAATGATAGAAAAGAAATGTAATAAATATATTTATAAATCGTTGCTGTAGTTTACGAGGGTGGGTGGATAGTCGTTATAGCACTATTGCTGATAGACATAAAAGTATGCTGTTAGTATCAGTAGCTGTAGTAAGATGACAACAGAGCTTTGGATATTATCGATAAGAATTAAAATTGTTAGGCTATTACGTGAGTATGTGTTGCTAAAGAGTTTGTAATATACGTACGTACCACGTAGACAATTCCAAACCACCAGAGCCGATAAAGTGTCCCTATATGTATGGAATACTGGATCAACAGGCATTTTTGTTGACGAATTGCGATGCAATCATTTATTTCAAGTCAATATCGAAATAATTAAGCTTACTGTCTTACAGTAGGATGCAAAAGTACCCCTAATTCGGGACACGAATGAGTAAAGCCTTGAATGTTTCTCTGTATATAGTGTATAATAAACCCTGGTCACTTGTAAAATTTCGCTTGATCGGATGTCTCCAGTAAAAATTTACAAACATACAATATTTGCCTCTAAAACATATGAAAAACATTTAAACCCATTTAAAACCCCTACATCGTTATTTCAATATATACTCAAAAATTCATATCTTCACATGTTTTTAATTGATTTGCAGGATCTTTTTTTTTTTTTGTTTTGTTTATCAAACCAATTCCTACGTATTTCTTTAGATGTGGTGGTCGAAATCGCTATATACTTGGCAAGACACATGAACGATCTTTTAAGCATCATTATGCCGCACAATTGTTTGTATTTGTAGTAGCAATCACACAGTAATTTGTTCTAAAATTACGTGAATGCAATTTGATGGTGCAGAGGAACAAAATAAACAAAATTTTACAAAATTTGGTTGAAACCCGAAATCTATCATGGTAAAAACTTTGGTGTTTAGAAATTTTGCTGGAGACATCCGATCAAGCTGAAATTTTACAAGTGATCCGGGTTTATTATACACTATATACGGGAAACTTTCAAAGCGTTTATTCATTCGTGTCCCGAACTAGAAGTGGGGGGATACTTTTGCATCCTACTGTAGTTCATTACACTATATTGGCTAATGGGCGCATTATTAAAGCTTATAAAAATCGTACGCTCATTCGGAAAGCTAACCATTACTATATTCTTGATAATATATAAAAACCTAGCATGCACGGTAAACTCATACTCTCCAGTGTATCTTGACTTACATATTAATATCATTATGCAGTACACAATAAACCAAATTGGGAAAGGCGTCAACTAAAGCAGTAATGATCCTAGTTTGGAAAATATTGAAAACCCCAAAAAACAACATAGAAATCACCCACGGCCACAGCTTTTATGTAGTGTCAATGGTATTTCTTTTATTATACCGTATTGTTTCTTTTAACTATCGGATTGACTCCGTTTATATCGGTAATATTCTGTCTGGTAATATGCATTTCAATCATCATAATCGCCAATAAATCTAAGCGAAAGAGTAATAGAAATTCCTCTTATCGATATAGAGACTCTTTAAGACCGCAAGGCTAACTAAGCAGGCCCCTGGAAGCACGTCTTTCCAATGAAGAAAATGATCTCCCTCTTAAATATAATAAGCGATCATCGATTGGCTGCTTTCCATAAATTCAAAAAATTGCACGTGTAATAATACCCTGATTTTTATCGAAGATCCATTCAATTTATTAGATCAAGTCTTCTCTCGAGTGCAGTAGATGTCTAGGTAATGCTGCTTATTTTGTGTTTAATGTTGATGAAAATCTCATTTGTCGTTTTCATATAGTATCACCCAAGGGTTCAGAGGAGGAGTCACATTCAACACTTCATCCAAGCAGAATATTCGTGACACTATCCACGATGCGGACTTTTACAAGTCGTAAACCTGTATGATAAAGTTCGAATTCTTCGTGCTGAGGTCAAAGATATCAATCGTATGAGAAACAACGTACAAACAAGCTCAAATGACAAGAGGCGAGAAGCATTCGGCTTTAATTGAATAGGCACATCTTAAAAGAATGGAACTAGAGACCGAGTTAGTACTGGAAGCGTGAGTCCAAGGCACATATAACTAAAACCATGGAGTACCTATCGATAGAACCACTCATCCGTTTGAGATTAAAAAACACATGTCATTTCCCGTAGCTTGGATCTAATAGATCTTGAATCTGCTGCAAATGTTCTTGCAGCAGCTGGTATTACCTTGGCAATGTCGACTTGGCGCTTTGTTGGAATTAGCTCTAATCCAATACACTATGTTAAAGGTTATGAGTAAAGGCTTTACTCCGATAATACAGACATTGTAAGAGCAGAATACAGCTATGAATGTGGTTTTCAGCTTCGATCGCACGAGGCATCTCGGAACTACTTTGTCACATCTGGATGTTCTTCGCCTTCTGGACGACAATCTCCCGATTGATGTTGGCTCCAACCGCCGAAGTTCCATTAGCTGGGAGTTATTCGAATAGACTACTCTCCGAATCACAATTACCAATAAAAATGGTTGGGTTTGGTGAACTCTTCGTGCCGAAGCAGGAGCTAGAGGGGATGATACGAAAGGATTATAGAGAATTTATCGGTTTAGCAAAGTAGAATTATTTGCCGCACAGAGTGAAACTATTCACGAAGATATCAGATTTTATTCAAGAGGATATTTTGAAGAGTCAGGACTATGTTATAGGTAAAGAATGTACATCAACCAGATTTATCTTTATCTCACATGAAGTTTCAGACACCTAGCTTCTGAAGGCACCTCTGCATCACATTACACATCAATTTTTTAAATATGACTTACAAACTTGAATATCTTTCCTAAAGTATTATTACGAAAAGTCGAATTGTGATATGTATCAACCAGGATATTAGATATGCCGACCAGGAGTTGGGAGCAAGTGCGTACAGAAAGTACGACATAGAAGTATGGATGCCTGGGCGTGATGGATAGGGAGAAGTTACGGCTCGATGGAGAGTGCGCTCACTATGTGTAAAATTTTGTGAGGCTAGTATACTAATATCAGCTTTAGATTTCATCGGCATCTAATTGCACGGATTATCAGTCTCGACGGCTTAACATCAGATACCGCCCAACTTCGTCCCGCGGTGGCAGTACTCACGCTGAGGACGACAGGTAGCAGAAGACAACAGACTGAGACTCATACACGAGATTACTATCGTGGGCACGGACGCGGAATTGTGCCCTTTTACCATTATATCTTGGCAGGACAATAAACAGTCAAAGTTTAGAAAGCGATAATACCAACGCTCGATAGCGAATAGGCCCTTACTCTGAATGGTACAGCATTAGCTGTACCTCGTATGATCATTGCAATTCTAGCGAACTTTCAGATACATGAGGGCAAAGTACATATACTAGAAGTATTGGTGCCATGGATGGGAGGATCGAAAGCCATTGACATAAACTTAAAATTGAACCGACAAAGGTAAGACGAATATATTATATGTGTTGCAACATAATATGACACTTATTGACATGTGAGCTACGCTTCTAATTTCAGTAATCTGTAAAGATCTGCCACAAGATATAAACTTCCGCATAAAACCATCATTCCAGCGTCATTCTTGCTTCTCGTTGTTGCATTTTGGAGGGCAGCAGTCAAATTTACACTCGACTCCGCAAACATGTCAGTATGGATCCCCTTTGCGCTATCTACAATGAGATCCGGATTGCATGGGTGTATCCATGCCATGTCCTCAACGTCGGAGAATATTACGGCATACACTGAATCGTGACTTTTAAGAAGTAATCTAAGCATTGCAGGGATATCTCTACCGTCTTTCATGCCAATTATCCAATGAATTGGCTTAATCCCGTCAAACTCTTTATCAATAAAGGATCGAAGAGCAGATGCAGCTAGCATGTTATGAGCACCGTCAACTAGTATTCTTTGATGGCTCCCGCCTAACACTGACGAAACGTCGATCCACTCAAGCCTTCCCGGCCATTTGGTATCCCTTACTCCTTCTTTGATGTGAGTATAGGTGATTGAAGCAAACTCGCTGACATGTTTACGAATTGAAAGAATTGCTGTTATAGCCGCTGCAACATTCTCCAATTGAAAGTCGCCGAGAAGCGGAATATGAAAGTCGAAATAACAGCCGTCGAGATACATGCGCACATTACCGTTAACCCAAGTGGCAGCATTTACGATAATAAACTCATCGCATTCGATATTAATTGCACAGTCCACCAGAATTTGCTGCACCGCCGGAATTTGGGGGGCAAAAATTGCTTTACCGTTTGGCTTCAGTATACCGGCCTTCTCCTTGACAATAAGGTCTATTGTTTCGCCCAATATTTCCATATGGTCCATACCGATGGCCGTGATAATACTCATGAGCGGCGAGGGAAATACATTTGTCGCGTCTTTGGCGCCGCCTAGGCCTACTTCAATGACGGCAATCGATACTTTCTCAGCATCAAAGCAGCATAGTGCTACTGCCGTCAATAGCTCGAAAGACGTTGCCCTGATATCAGACTCTGAATTGACGGTTTCGACACGGTTGCGAACGCGCTGGTAAGATTCCTTATTGATGGGTATGCCATTGATGCGGATTGAATCGCGTGGTTCGAGAAGGTGAGGAGAGTTGTATCGACCTGTTTTATAGCCGGCCTTTATAAGGATTGAGTCTATATAGGCTGTTACGGATCCTTTACCGTTAGTTCCGCCAACATGAATTACGGATAGGCGAAGATGCGGATTCTCGAGTTTTGAGAGTAGAAAATGGATGCGTTCTAAGCCAAAGTTCATTGTTTCTTGTGTGAATGGATAGTGTGTGTGGTTTTTGGAGAAGAGGTCGGGTTTAAAATTATATGTTCTTTTCACCCCCACTTTTTATTCGTAATCAATTTTCAGAACGGTTGCTTTAATGTTATTATCGCATGAGACCGGATCTGCTGCATTGCATAGTCGTGAAAAAAAATTTTGAGTTCATACTTTTTTTTTTATTTGATACTATTTGTCAAAACGTAAGCGTCTTTCCTATGTCTGTTAGTAGGTATCACACCAATCAAAAGCGTCCTGACATCATTCATGTCGTTGTGATGCACATCATTGTGGCGACATAGTTATACAATGCAAACGATGTCTTTAAAAATCAGGCTGTTGCTTTTTTTTTTCCTCTAATGCTTGTAATATGAAGTAATACCAAGTGTTGAATAATAGTAATAGGTAGACAATACTGCAATGCCTCATGAATTTTTTTATGATTTCCATCTTACATTATTGTTAAATGCAGGTCTGACACGTGCAGAACTCCGATATTTTTGTTACGTCATCGGACATCAAACCTTCTCTCCCTCATCTCAATATTCAATCATCAATTCGTCGTTAGCCCATAGGCTTCTACGAGAACTATATTCACAATGTGTGGACTTGTTATAATTTGGATAAAGTTCAACTATTTTATGTTTGGTTGGGGGACGTCCCCAAAAAACAATGTAGATTATTATGGTTAGCCGCATTTGTGGCTAGCAATACGATTTTTAGGTTTGACCACAAAGCATGTTTGGTTACAATCTATTTGTCCTTCGTTTGCTCCCTTTTTAGCTGTAGTTATGAGACTTAATAATAACAGACAGGGCAACGAAGACAACTCAACTTCAATGTGGGTACAACCCTGGATCTGAGAGAGACTTGGCTTATAGCGAAAAGTTTACATGCAGTATATAAACCCCCAAATTGAGACGAGCTCTAAAAATTTTTCTTATCGGATTGTGAAACCCATGGCGGCGGCTGTGCAATGTTTTATGTAATAGTAATATTAACAAAAGTACACAATTCAATTGTTCTTACAACTAACGCTAGTTTTGTGGCATCGATTGTCACACTTCTTCTACAACCATATCGCTGAAGTATACATCTGACTCGGGAAACTCGGCTGTTCCACTAATTCATGTCTTTGCATCCATAAACAATATTCAAAATCCCAGAGGCACATCCTCCGACATCCCATTTGTCTTTTCTAAATTAACAACGAGAATGCTATAACTATATCATTACAACGACATCTTTTAAACAAATCAAGATGTTTTATCAACACAGTTTATAGCAAACACAATTATAACGACGCTACAAAGGGTAGTATCTACTACAAAGGGATTGTGATATCAGAAAGCAGGATAGGAACTTTGAGGGTTTATATGATAACGGGCTTATTGTTACAGTACGCCTTATCCGTAGTTGATAAGAGAATTTTAGGGACCATCTCAATTTTATACGTATAAATCGTGGTACGCATTTATCCAGCGACAATAGATTGTATGAAGCGATAGAAAGATAAAACTTTAATCCCTTATCAATGATAATAATCGATCGTGCTATTGATTATCCAATTGGCAAATACAATTGTTCAAAACGCGCGTTTAATGTTGATATAAAATTACTGATAGGTAATCGGATTTTATCCACCGGTGGAAATCAACGCGAGATTAATTAGAAATCCAGAATTCGTAACTAACTTGTCTAAGAGCGGTCATTTGGCTTTACCGTTCGAGGAATACGTCACTACTTAACATAACTGTAGTTATGTTTATGGCTCTTAACGAAAATTTTCGTGTATTTATGTTTGAACAAATTTTTTACTTACTTTTTCACAAGCATTAAACCAAATTATGTCATCGTCTTACAATTGGATGCACACACACAGCCGATTGGATGAGACCAATATCGCGGAAGTTATGCTCAAATTGATATATAATGCGTAACGGAGAGAACGCTCAGTCGTTCGATTTTTATGAGGTTATATAATTAATATTCTTTGTAAGTAATTAATGGCTTAAAAGTAACGATTAACATTATTACAAACATTCTGTAAACAGTAATTGATTGCAGATTACCCGACAATATTAACTCCTGGTAATGTTTGGATTATTATTATTGGCATTACCCCCACAAACCCATAATTATTATTTAGCGTTAGTATTTTACCACAACGTAAGCTCAATTTGGTATGAAATCGAGTATGATCTCCCATTTGACACAATAACTGGCATTAAAGAGTTTGGCTAACATGGTTTATACTGCAAACTACAATGATTCAAAGTGTGCTGCTTTAAAGTGATTTGAAACTCCAAATCAAACAATATCATAATTTATTACTGAAGTAAGCAAGCTAATATAAATATTAGTGTAGTTAAGTCACCTGTTACTAAATTTTATTCTTTATTTTTAAACACAGGTTGATGCTATGCAAAATGTCAATAATTTCTGAGATTACGACATCTAGAAAAAGGACAACGTTGTAATAAAAGCTGCTAATAATGGCAACCTTTTTTCTTATTTGAACCGATAAGTTAGTTACTAGACATGGAAAATAAAATTAAAACAGTTGCAAAATATACATGCTGCAGGATTCATGCACAGCGAGTTTGGAGAAGAAGACTATGTTTATTTAATTATCTGTGATCTAAGACAGTGTCAACTAGTAAATTCTTTTAAATTAGACATGTCAACCATTTGCCTACTATTTTGGTATTTTGAGGTATCAAATTGCCAGTGGTAACCCGCCTTTTGAAGATTATTATTTAGCAATGCAATTTTGTAAAGAGCTACAACCAATGCCTTATTCCACCAGTGGCATATGAAAGCCTTGCGGGGGGGGGGGCATGTTGTAATTCTGAACCTGAAAAATCGCCCAGACGTTTCTGAGATTATAAGGCATATTAGATAATTGATTAATTCAAGAACATGCATGAATGAGTGGTATACTATCTATAAGGAAAACAGCGAATACTTTAGTAGAATGTTGCCTACCGGAGAATTGGCGAAACTAAAAAGAAATGGTTGTTTATTCAGATCATGTAAATATATAATAATAAATGCAAATTATTTATAAAAACCAATACCAATACTTATACTGCTAATATTTATTTATTAAACAGGAATTACAAGAAGTATAATTGATAACTTATACATTTATTTAAAATTAATATATTAACCCCATATAAGGTAGACGGGGATAATTTGGCAAATTACAAAATTATTATAATAATAATGCATGGAGTCGATTATGATCAAAAACAAGATTTATAGTCATCACTAATTATACTTTATTAAAGTAATTACATGCAAAATTGTATGTACGTTATATATACGTGTCTATTGTGTTTTCATTTTTTAAATCCACCGCGTTTTACTTACATTGTACAAATGCTAGATTAGCGAAAAGAAACAAAAGTCGAGGCTCAAAAAGCGAGAGCAATAAAAAGTCACTAAAATAGGCGTAATTTTTTGGTAATAGATCCAAATTCGCCAATTACCCCTTTTGTTTTAAAATCACAATTTTAAGGAACGGCGATTTTTGTATGGTGGGGACATAAGTACGCATCAAACAAAAGTCGATACATTTCAAACAATGATACAAGCATTACTGTATTAATAATTCAAATTTTAAGAACGCCAATTTGTTCTTGATAAGTTTTAACAAATTATGTTTAGAAAATGCTACATGTGGTTTGAGATATAACTGCTCAAAGTTTAGTTAATTTATATAGTGAGCAGAAATTTGAAACAGCCTTTTCTGGTAAAATTTGTCTTAAATTTGGCCTATTTTCTTAAGGCCTTATCCCGAAAATGTTTTTATTAATGATTACAGACAATGCGATTGTAGTGAATTTTATGTGTATGAATGGAATGATATATAATGGAATGATAATAGATTAGACCATTCTGTGGTGTGAAAAAACAAACGATTGTAACGAATGATAATTGTTGTGCGCGTCATATTCTTGCAGCGCAAGATGATTTCAAAGCTAACAAACCGCTACTCCAAGAGGTAATTGAGAGCATGGGCCACAAAGTTATCTTCTATTCCAAATTCCATCCTGAGTTAAATTTCATTGAGAAATATTGGAGCGCTGCTAAACGATATACACAACAACATTGCGATCACACTTGGAATGGTTCAAAGGAAACTCTTCCATCTGCATTTGATTCTATTTCTCTACAGACAATACGAAAATATGCAGTAAGGTCCAAACGATTTATGGATTACGACAGGCAGAATTTGCCATTAAAAAATACGTGTATAAAAGTCATAGAACGGTTCCTGAAACGATTTTTGAATAAATTAATATAGTTGATTATTGACATTTTTAGTAATGATTTCCCCTTGAAAATTGAAACAATTTGATACGCACTTGTGTCCCCAATTCAATTTTGCAACCGTTTTTCTATTAGGATTGCATCTAAATATTAACTCTGAATATCAAAAGTTATAAACAGGTTAATAAAATTTTGACTAGTAAGAACTTTAACTTTGCCAGTCTACAGTACCTGGACAAAAGTGAGTGGTCACTACGAAATTTCGCTGATCAACCGCTAATAGTTGCTCATATGTGAAGTAAAATTTTTACTAATACAGTTGGCCATGATGCAATAGTAAACTTGTTTGTAATAACTGTGTGCAGACTTTGTATAAATATTGAGCGAAAAATAAAGGCTTACGTCGAAGATAAAGATTTACGAAATTTTATGTCAGAACTTTAGTTATAGTGCAGGTCAAAGAAGTTAATTATAATGCATCATCGCATTCTTAAGTGAACACATTCGGCATATTTCAAAATATATGAATATAAAATTTCTGACGATTTGGTTTGGATTTCATTGAGTAAACAATTGAACTATAAGAAACCATATTAACATTGCAAGTACAAAGCACTACAAATTTTAGTATTGGAATAATATATAATTACAAAGACTTCAAATTGAGAAAATTTTACATTTTGGATAGTATTCAATGGAATCTAAAC